CATAAACTTAATGCTTCTATATATAGTTATAATAATTTTGAATATCCCCTTGTTTTTATAATAGGTACAAACATACTTTTTTCCATACATTTATAAATTGTAATATTAAATAATTAAAATTATTAAGTCATCGTGAATGGGCTAAAGGTGAGTAATTCGAATAATTTACATAAAATTGTAAGTTGAAATCTCAATGCTATTATTTATATATATATATAGAAAATAACAACAGGATTCACATAACTTGATGGAGAAAGAAATCTGTTCCCCCCCCCCCCCACAAAAAAAACCCCTATAATTATGACATTTATGGAATATAATCGGGGATCACGCCTGTATTTTTCGAAATCATAAATATAAATAAAACCTGAATCATTGCATGTATTTAATAGATTCATGAGCCATGTTTGAAAATCAACTAACGAGATATAATTCTATGAATCTTGAAATTGTAGGTAGTATTAATTCGCAAAGATATGAATATTTTGTTTTATACTTTATACACTGGCCTTCTCTTGTGATATCAGGCTTATCTTTTGCTTTGCATGGAATTAAGGATACACGAAGGAACATGTGATAAGAACAAGTTGGGGTGCAATGACTAAGCACAGTATTCTCTTACGATACTAAAATCATGTGAAGTCATTGCTGGTTCTGTGTATTTCATGTGAAATCATTGCTGGTTCTGTGTATTTTTCTGATTGATCGAATATCTTGAAAAGAAAACTAATTGATTAGTTGCTAGATTTTACCAGTTTTTGTTGCTGTTGTTTATGAAGAGAAATATCTCAACAGAAATTGTGACGTGCTTTATGTGAAAATGAGAGCTCACATGTGAACATATTATATTAATATCTTTCAGTTCCATATCGGAATCATGGTTTCTAAATGTAAGAATAATGTGATTCTTTCCTTTGGAATTTGCCATCTTTTATGGGGAAATACCATTTTTAGTAGGAATCATTGAGTCATATATATAACACTCTCGTGCTTGTATGAGTTGTAATTGAATCATATGACCTCTCATTTCCAACTTGGAAAGGCCACGAACGAGAAACGTACTAAAGAAACAAAAGGAAAGTGCATGATCAATGGTGTAAGATCTAATCAGCCCTTCTAAAAAAGAATATCATATCATTGTAAAATAAACAAAATTACATTTTTAATTTATAGACAGCGAGAATTAAACACATGGTTTATATTAAAATATCCACTTAGTTATCTACTCAATCACCTGAGTTAGGATTTAAGAATAATATTTTCTTTCAATAACAACAAAAATAAGATGATGCTATTTCAAATGCAAAAGTTTACTCAATGATGAGAGTCAGAATTATAGGTCACTAAAAGCCCACAGTGCTAAGGCAAGAGCCCATTGTGGGATTTAAGTCCAAACCAAGACTTGACAAATAAGAAATGCATAGGATGCATTTGCACGCCATCCCGCGAATCACCCGACAGTTCAGACCGACAATGGCCGAACGACATAAATAGATTTCCAGCAAAGCCTCAACAATTTAACTAACTAAGAAGCATTTCGCGTAGAGTTATAGGCTACAATGACCAATTAGAAAGCATATTGATCGATCCGGGGGATTGGAAACGTTGAACCGAAAATTGGAAATTATGGCTAATGTTTGATTTCTGTTTTGCAAAATAGTTTTTTAGTTTTCAGAACAAAAAAACTAAAAAACTCGTTTGGTAAAACCTGTTTTGTAAAAAATATTTTGAAAACTATAACTGTTTTTTTGTTTTTAAAATCAAATTTAGAGATTCTGAGTTGTTTTTGTTTTCTGTTTTGGTTTTTAACTTTCAAAAAGAAAAACATATAGAAAACAACTGTTTCCATAACTATTTTACAAAACAGTTTTAAGAACAAAAAAACCAGAACACAATCAAACAGACCCTATATCTCGGATCAGTATGTTTGTCGGAGTTCATGAAAGAGATGTTGCAAGGGGTACGTAGTAGATCGTTATGCACGAATAATAATGATGTATAATCGAATGCGTGGAATGTGTGCACCATAATAACTAGAAGAATAGAGAGTAAAAGATGTGTATTTGATAAACTTAATCCTTTATTTATACATGATGTTGATAAGTGATTTATTGCTTATCCCTTAGGCATAAGATGAAGGTTTTATTTTTATCTCTTCAATTTGTCACTTATCAAAGTTATCATTAGTGATGCTTGTAAGGGCTACGCATAGCACATATAAACTAAGCTGCCATTTAAAGGCGGCTTAATCTCATGCCAGCTGTTAAAAATATATAGGCTAAGACCTAGTTACATTCATTTTTTCCATATCACCTAATCTCATTCATTCATAAACTAGTTTGAGGGGTAGAGTCACTTGCAAATATCCACCCTCGTAACAATTCTTGACCCTAAAGATAATTAACTTCAGCACTAGAATATATCAACTTGAATCAAACTCAACTGTGTGTGATTAAACTAAATCTTTTGTGGTCTGATTACTGATCTAGTTAAATCTTTTATAATTTGTATATAGTTTGAATTTTTTTTTATATCAATTGTTTATAGTGGTTTTAGTTTTACTAAATAATATAACTTTAATCGTGAAAGTAAATTAGTCAAAGTTAAAATACACATGAACATATTTTATATGTAGTGGGTAAATAATGTCTGGATTATATATATATATATATATATATATATAGGAGTTTATATTTCTGCAGCGGCTGTACGTGCAATAATTAAATATTTGTCATATATACATTTGAAAACATTAAATGCGAGGAATCATAACCACACAAAGGATTAAAGCATCAAATGTAGGGAATCATAACCATACACATGTCGTTGCTGTACGTAAAGCGGCTGCAGAAATAATTTTACTATATATATATATTTGAGAAATTTTATTTTAATTTCTTTTTTCTTTATAAATAGAAGCTTACGTAAACATATATTTATAAAAAATTTATTATAAAAAGAGTTTTTTGTTATAATGAATAAAAAAATAGAAGTTAAAAAAAAAATATACTAGCTTTTTAGAGTTTTTATATATTTTTCAGTTTCATTTTTATTTTAAATTTGTATTTGTCAATTTTATTCTTTATTCTAATAATTCATTCTAATAACAAATTATTTCATAGCTCCTTAAAATTCATCGGAACAACTTTATATGATCATCTAATAATTTTTAGTTATATTTTTTTAACTTTAGTTTAAAATTAACTTTTAACTTAAAACAGTCTCTTTGAATGAAAGTTGATATTATCGAAAAATAAGTGGAAACAAAAGAAGAAAAAAATGCAGCATTCGTACATGAATGTAATTTTTTTTCTTCCTTTTCCTTATCCGTGAATCTTAAGGGATAAGGGATGCAATTAATTACGTATGATACTTGTTTTAGTGGGTATATCCTGTGTGATGGCTCAAGAAGGCAAAGTACTTCTTTGTTTTCTCATTCTTTTATTTCTTTTTCTAATATTTTTTAATTAAAAAATATTTTTTCTGTGTGATTTTAAATAAACCAATTGTATTTTATGATAAAAGAGAATTGTCACAAAATAGAAGATGATCGTGAGAACCGAGAAGAATGAAAGGTTATTGAAAGAAAAATATTTAATTTAAATATTAAGGGAAACATTACTATTTCATATAAAATAACATCATATATTATTATTTAAAAGGACAAATACTTTTTCTATTTTTTAAAGAATTAATATTTCTTATATTGTAGGAAATAATTTTATCTCTTATATATACATACTGGACTTCACACATTTTTATGTATGTGTAGGAAATAAAATTCTCTCATATATATATATGAAAAATATTAATTCTTTTTAAATACAATAACCGTTTGATTAAAGGTCACAAATTAATAAACAGATTATATCATCAATTATATTACCCTCATATTATATTTATCTATGTCTGTATGAGTACGCAGGTTTTCTTTTCTTTCTTTTGGGCTATTTTAAAAGGCTTTAATGTTTTCACAGTAAATGCAGATAAATTGTCTATGTTTACTCTCAAAATAATTTTGTTTTGGATTAGAAGATTAAAAAAGTATAATAATAAAGACTATTATAATATTAAAAGAAATTATAAATATAAAAATCTCATAATTTTAATTCCAAAATAACATCATTTTGTACTCTATACAAATAATTTATCTACATTAAATTAGATTAGAAGCGTTGAAGAAATAAAATGCGTAACGGAGTTTAGTTTGATCAATTTTAAAAGAATACCAAAAATTATATTTTGGGATGGGTTGAACAGAGAAGCCCAAGACATAGGAGCAGCATGTGGCCCAACAAATCACTGTGTTCTTTGTTGAATTAACGTTGAGTTTTATTAGTGTTATGGAACATAATGTAAGTATTGTTTCTAAGTGCCTGTTTGGATCCTCTTATTTTTAAGCTAGAAGCTACTTATAAGCTAAAGCTAAAAAAAAGAGCTTAAAAAAATAAGCTAAAAGCTGTTTGGAAATTACATAAAAGTTTTAGCTTAAAAATTACTTAAAAGCACATATTTCAAGAAAATTATCTCTTTCTATCTTTATCACTCTTTATTTTAAAAAAAAAGCACACAATTCAAGAAAAACAGATAAGAGCTTAAAAAAAAGCTCCTCCTAGGAGTTTTTAATTTTCAGCTTTTTTCTTCATTATAAAAAAAAGAGCTTTTCGTTATAAGAGCTTTTCCCAAAACCTGTTTGGCCTAGCTTATGCTTATAAGTAGCTTGTAGCTTAAAAAAAAGAGGATCCAAACAGGCACTAACTCTCACATCAAAAGGGAGAGAGAAAGTAAAATGATGAAAGAGAAAGAAAAATACGTGAATCCCACCTCTTTAACGTATGCGTAGGAAAGTGAACTTATATTATGTTAAATGATAAACATAAAACCGTATGAATTTCCGAACCAATTGGAGAGCAGCAGAGCCTAATAACAACAACACTAACAAAAGTCACTGGTCTCGGTGGCTATTAGTATTAATTCAATTTAAGGTTTTCAATCCCTAAACAAACAAACAAGAATGGCCACATTGAAGACTATCTCTGCAGCTCTGAAACTGGTTGACGCCAAGATAGAGAATCTGAAGAAAGCCTACAATGATCTTCAATCTCACTCTCCTCTCCTCTCCTCTTTCCCTCTCGATTGGTCTCACCTCGATTCTCACTTCACCTCCATCCACAGCACCCTCAATCAACGCTTCCTCCTCCTTCAATCCCTCGAATCCCAACAACAACAACAACCACCAAACCAAAACCCCAACCCTAATGACCCATCTCCCTCTACATCAAAATTACCCGACCCGAACCCCAAAAACCCGAACTTTCCATCTCTCCCTAAGGACCCATCTTCATCTTCCAACCCAACAACCCAAAACGGAACGGTTGCGTCGCCCTCGGAACATGCGGTAGAGTTGAGTGCGCTGTGCAAGAAGATGGATGGAAAGGCGTTGAGGGATTATATTGCGGATAGTTTCAGGGACAATATTGCCATTAAAGTTGAGCTTCAAAGTGCCCTCAAGTGTGCCTCGGATCCTGCTGCCATGGTTTTTGATTCCTTGGATGGGGTTGTTGGTGCAAATGCAGTGAGCGATGACAAGGATCTGCGCAGATTGAAGAGGAGTTGCAATTTATTGCTTCAACAATTGAGGGTTTTGTCTCCAAATATGAGTTTTAATGTCAGGAAGAAAGCGAAGGCGTTGTTTGCAGAGTGGAAAGGAAGCTTTGTGGGTGATAATTCTGATTCAATTGGTGCCATGGCTTTCTTGCATTTTGTGGCGGCCTATGGGTTGCTTTCTGAATTGAGCACGAATGCGCTTACCACTTTTTCTGCTATGGCTGCGTGTTATTATGATGAGCTTCCTGAGCTGTACCAGATTCTTGGTTTGACAGATAAAGTTCCAGGTCACAATCCCCAAATTAGATTTGATTTAAGGTTTTATTTGAGCTCTTAGGAGTTGGTATTGTGTAACTGTTTTGTTTTATTGTTGTAGCATCTTAATAGTTGCTGTGGTGCTACTGTTTATGTTAATGTGTTCTTCGAGTTGGATTTTGTTATTTATTTATTTATTTTAAATGGTATAAGATTGTGATTTGAAATGGTGGAAATACTGTTGTTGTATTTCTATTATCACCCTTTTAGTGGTTTAATTTGTAAGGCAATTTTGTTTTTGTTTTGTTTTGCAGAACTTGTTCAGAAACTTATTGATAGGGGCAAACATGTTATGGCTGTCAAGTATATTTTTCAATTTAATCTTGCTGACAAGATCCCACCAGTTCCCATTTTGAAAGCTCAAGTGAATGAGTCTGAGAAACTTGCTAGAAGACTTTCCGAGGAAGGAAAGTCACGGGTAAGTATGTCCCCCTTGATTGATTGCTTGGTGCATTGTGTCACTGCCTATATTTATTGAGGTATTTTTGCAGAGTGAGATCACAGCCAGAGAGATCCATGCTCTGAGATCTGTAATTAGGATTATTGAGAATCATAATCTTGAATCTGAATTTCCACGTGCAAGCATTGAACAGCGTATAGAGCAATTGAAGAAGGATAAAGGAAATAAAAAACACCATGTACCAGCTTTTGGTGGAAAGCCTCCTCAGCAAGAAAGTGGGATCAAGCGTCCTCGAATATCTGCTCCAGCTGGTCCTGCAGCTGTTCTGAACAATTCAGCCATACACCGGTACCAACAATCTCATTTCCAGTCAGCAGGTTTGTTGCCAGAACATTCAAATCCATACATGAGATTGCCAGCCACGCCATTTGGCATGATGTCCACAACCCCAACCCCAGCCATCCCGCCTTATGCAGGTCCTTCAACTGGGCCTTATGGTCTTGATGGTGTCCCAATGGATCCGAGTGGTCCTTCAACTAGGCCTTACGGTCTTGATGGTGTCCATATGGATCCCAGTGGTCATTCAACTAGGCCTTATGGTCTTGATGGTGTCCCAATGGATCCCAGTGGTCATTCGACTAGGGCTTATGGTCTTGATAGTGTCCCAATGGATCCCAGTGGTCATTCAACTAGGCCTCATGGTCTTAATAGTGTCCCAATGGATCCCAGTGGTCATTCAACTAGGTCTCATGGTCTTGATAGTGTCCCAATGGATCCCAGTGGTCATTCAACTAGGCCTTATGGTCTTAATAGTGTCCCAATGGATCCCAGTGGTCATTCAACTAGGCCTTATGGTCTTCATAGTGCCCCAATGGATCCCAGTGGTCATTCAGCTAGGCCTTATGGTCTTCATAGTGCCCCAATGGATCCCAATGGTCCTTCAGCTCGGCCTTATGGTCTTGATGGTGTCCCAATGGATACCAGTGGTCCTTCAACTGGGACTTATGGTCTTGATGGTGTCCCAATGGATCCCAGTGGCAACCCTGGTCAAGGCAGTTCTTATCCAAATTCATCAGAGCCACATGTGCAGACTGGTTACTATGATAGAGTCTCTGATTATGGTGGTTATGGTCTGCAATATTACTACCCAACATCTTATCCTCAGTAGATCAACAAATTGCATTCTCTTTTCAATATTGTGCTCCTGGGTTGGTATTATATTTTCTTTGTAGCTTTGTACTTCTGGCTTTTGGTTATTAAAAGCACAAGTTGCTTTGTTGATCGGCATGATTATAGGACAAGAACTAGATTCAGTAATTAAGAATTGTGAGGGAATATTTATTTTCACAAATTTACTTACTTAAATCATTTTGCATCCACTTGATTCCTTTTAGATTAATCATGGTATTCTTTAAACTTCTCTTTCTTGCTCTTCCCCACTGCCTAGCTTTTATTGTTTTTGCTAAGCAATGAAATTTTTTGAGTGTTTCGAAAGTAAAGCCCTCATGAATATAAACTTCCCATATTTGTATTAGTTGTATTTTTGCTTGTGAGTTACTTATTATACTAGTCTAATGTTGATTCAGGACTGCATAATTTTTTTATTCTCTCACACCCTAGTTAATAAGTAAAAGCAAGATATATATTTAAGGCAGTTATCGGTTAACCTTTTAAAAATTTATCAATGGGATGGAAAGTGTTCAGTATTATGCCATACTTGGACACCTCTCTGGATTTTAACTTTGGTTTGGTTGCCTCTCGCTGTAAACAGAAACTTGCTTTTATATTTAAAGAAAATCTCGTCCAATGATGTCATAGAGTAATCATTCCTGAAGCTTTAACGTAAAAGCCTAGGAGAATTGTGTTGATTGTTCTCATCTATGCACCATCCACATGGATGGCAAAATACAAGATGTATTTTTTTTGGGTTAATTTCCTGTATAAAATTTCTTTCTTCTCACGTCTTTTCTTTTTCATCTCCTCACCATTAGTCATATTTCGTGGATGTCCTTTCAAGTTACAAATAGGAATGGTATTCTGCAATTTCTCATCTCTGGTTTCTCTGTTTTCCTTCGTGTTTTGTGCCATTTACAATTGTCCTGTATGTAAGACAAAGTTAATCTGTTGGCTGTATTTTCTTCTTTTGCACATGGCCTGTGAAGAAAAGAATAAAAAAAATTAAAATTCACTGTCTTTGGATTTGAAATTCAATCCAATTTCATTCTTTTATGTATTTTGAACTAATTCATATATTTTGATGGTGAAGGGTGCTTATTATGGATTATGGTTCTCACTGATCATCTGTATGTACAGATTATGTCTCATAGTCTATTCAACAATTGATTTGTTGACAACTTGACATCTGATGGATAATTTTGTATTCCTTGCCTGTGATTAGCAGAACTAGTTCAATTTGATTAACTTATAGCTTAAGTAGATGTGAATGAATTGATGCTAAATGTCATTTCGCTAGTGGTTTTTGGTCGAATCATGCAACTTGTCTGGGTTGCCATCACTCATCAGTCACAAATTGTTGAATTACTTAGCCTTGGGCCAGTCCCCTTGGTCTTGAATTCAAGGTGTGTGTTACGGTGCAAATGTAAGGCAATAAACTCTTGGGCTGTCTGTAAGTTTGTCTATAGATGTTGTATCATTTAAGCATGAAGTCGGGAGAAAGTTAGAACAGTGTATGGTAGAAAATAAAGAAATTTGCTAACAGGAGTTGGCTCAGCTTGTAACACTCCGCCAATGGCAAATGCATGGCTTGAGTTGGTGGCTTATTTGTAAGTTTGGTGGATGTACTCACTATTACTAAGCCTGTGGGCCTATGTTATGTACACCTATTTTGAAAGAAAATAGGAGATTTGAATTCAACTGAAGAAATTCTGGCTCAAGTACACAAATGAATGTACACAAATAATTCTTCTCTTTTCTGATGATCTTTAAAGGTTTAAATAGATAATATAAGATAATCTTGAAAATAATTACACACTAACACTAGATAGACTCTACCAATAGATATGATTTATTCTTAAATAAAGTTGAAATTCAAATAACAAAACAAATAAAAATAATTATCCACTACTTAAACAATTCAACGATTTAGAAAATAATAAAAATAATAAAATTAACAAACTCGTAACATTCCTCTTTTTTTAAAAAAATTACTCTTGTCCTTTAAGAGCAAGATCAAATGATTGAATCATTTTTAATATCTATGTTTGCCTGTTCATTGTTATTGATTGGAAAATGTTCTTTAGCCATGATTGTTTCTTTCCTCTTAAAATTTTTTAGAAGTGGAGCTCTTATTAGATATCTCATATCTAGACCAAAAATTTAGGGGCTTGATTTGATTGAGACACTTTGATTATGTTCAAAATTTTAATAGCAATAGTAGTGTTTGGGGGCTCTTTTGTTAAAGAGAAAAAAAGAAAAATGTTTTAGTGTGAAAGTCTCAGGTATTAAATGAGAACAATGAAAATGGGAGAGTTTGATGATTAGTACTAGAGCATCTAGTTGATTAGAGTTTGGTAAACATCTCTTTCTACTTGATGGAGAGTGTCTAAACTGTATCTTCTAATTTTTCTAACCATTTCTACTGCATCTTCTATAGTGTCGGGCTCTTTTATCAAGCTGTTATGTAAACCTATTTTGGAAGAAAATAGGGGATTTGAGTTCAACTGAGGGAACCATGCCTCAAGTACACAAACAAATGCACACAAATAATTCTTCTCTTTTATAATAATCTTTATTCAAATACTTCAAGGTTTAAATAAATAATATAAGACAATCTTATAACTACTCACTAACACTAGATATGCTCCACTAATAGCTATGATCTATCCTTAATCAAAATTGAAATTCAAATAACAAAACAAACAAAATAACTACCCACTACTTAAACAACCTAACAATTTAGAAAATAATAAAAATAATAAAATTAACAAACTCGTAACAGCTACGGACTGGTGTAACCATCTCCTCATCCTATATATTTTTACCAAAACATATAAAAGAATATGAAGAAAATTTCCCCATTGAGGCTGGTAAGATTGAGATTAGATTTGTTAAAATTTTGGTAGAGAAAGCTTTGCTGTTCTTGTAGTCTTGCCGAGTTAGACTAGACTAATCATGTAATCGGTGAATCAAATCAGGGACAAATCCACAAAAAACTTCAAAATCACGTCACATGACGTAACATTTTGTCATGTTTTCCTAAAATTATGTCGTTTTGAGAATTAAGAGAATTAATAAAGGGTGTTTTTGTTAAAATTTATATAATAAATAAACAAACAAAAATAACAAAACACCTTTAATTAATTTTCATAACTCCTAAAACGACATAGTTTTGGAGTGACATGACCTAATTTTATGTCATGTGACATGAAAAACAATAAGCTATCTATCTATCTATCTATCTATCTATCTATCTATATATATATATATATATATATATATATATATATATAGGTTTCATTTTTCTCATTTAGTGGAAAAAATTATCTCATAAAAAAAATAACTATGTACCATGAGTAATATATAATAATAATGATAAAATTATTTTTTTTCTCTTCATTATATTATTCGACAATGTCTGAATATAAAGAAAAATAAAATAACTTTAATATTATAACTATGTACTATCTATATTATTTTGTTATTTTGTTTTTGCTTTAATATTATAATTACTAGTGTGGTTTTCTTAACAATTTTGGCACCAGTTGATTTTGTGTTGTCATGTGGTGTATGGTCATCACTGGAGTTTCTGTACACTATTTTGACTTTTAATTTGAAACTGTTCTACCTGAGAAGTGATCTATTACCTATGAAAAGATGTGTCTGTATTATCATTTGCTTTTGTATAAATTGTTCCTCTCACCTTTTCAGAACAATGCTAATCTTCCAGGATTGATGGTTCGGTAATGTAACATGTAAGAGACCTCGTTTTCTCGATGTTTATGGATGAGACGTATACTCATTGTGTTCCATGAAAATGGATCGTACATGACTGGCCAGCTTTCTTCTTTTTGCGTTCATATTGAGAATTTTGCTCAACGTTACTTTATGAAATAAACGTTATAAAAAATACAGCAATAAAAATTATTTTTCATATGCAGTTTTGCTCTAATAATTTTCATATTTGAAAAGATACGTTTAGTAGTTATTTGTGATTTAAGAAGTGTGAAAACATGTCAACGCAATTTATCAATCAAAAGATGAACAAATGATTTTCGAGTTTTCAAATCTTTGACGCATGATTCTCTCAGTTTCCGCTAGCATTTTTTAACTTAATTTTTTTGTTTTGATTGGAATCCAACCAAAATTTTGTATACATTAACTTTTTTAGGGAACCATTAGTAAAATATATTAAGTTTGTATTTTATGAAATAACAAAGCTGGATGTTATCAAAAAAAAAAAAAAATAACAAAGCTGGAACTTGTCGTCTACACGGCGTCCCTTGCTTCCGACGCAGTATAACACCTTTAACCGTTGCTGTGTTTGGTACAAGAGAAATTTTTTTGATATCCGAAAATCACGATTAATAGAAATACAATAGAAATTGAGTTTACTTGGAATCTTACGAAAAAGATGTTTGGTTCGCCAAAATATTACCGGAAATATTGGGTAAAGATTACCGTTCCATGTTTGGTTTAGAACGAAATATGACTTGAAATATGAGGTTATTTTACAAAAATAACTCTAAACTATTTTTATCTTTTGTAACGGATAGATTGGGTCTAGATTTTTATGTGTGTTAGGGTATTTTTGTCTCAAAAATTATTGTTGTGCTTTTCTTTTACTTAGTATTCTGAATTATCATATTATTTTTGATAATCTGAATAGTGACTTTTCTTTATAAATCAAATTACCGATAATCCTTAAATATTCGGAACTGATTTTTGTTCCTTCTACCAAACATGGTAATTACATTTACCAAAGAAAATTTACCGCTAATCCTTTTGAAATACTTGTATCAAACACACCCTAAAGGTCATCTTTTCCTCGAGGGGTTGTCATTTTCTATTACCAATAGAATAAGTGTTAAAAATTTAAAGAAGTAATGGTGCTCTTTACTTATTTAGTGAATTTGTAATTAGTAACGAGGATGGTTATATTTATAATTATTTTAGGTTTATCATTTTTATTACATGTTTAGTTATTGGATAGTAAAATTGATAAGCTTAAGATGATGATAAATATAACTATTTCGATGAATAAGAATAAAGAAAATAGAGAAATGCGTTATGCATGCACGAGGACAACTTGATTTTATAGGGTAACTACTAAGAATTCTAGCTGTATGCATCGATTCTGCTAGGGAGACCATACATCATTTCAAATTGTACTCGTGTCAATCCTCCAAAAGCCCAAACATTCAATCACTATGTATGGTTCGGGGTAATGTGTTCTGGTTTAGGGCTTTGTTCTAGAGAGATTCTGGATTTTCACTTGAACAATTATATGAAAAATTCACCTATAAATTTTTCACATCAAATTCTAAATGTACCTAACTACTAATGTGATAAACTATCTCTCTTTCTAGGCAATATGACAAAAACAATAAAATAAAATAAAAAATTGGGACAATCTTCAAATTTCATACATTAAATAAAGGAAAAAATATTTGTCCTTTTTAATGATACAACTTATGTCATTTCACTCTCAAGGTGAGATTCACACCTTTATTTTTTTGTCTATTTTCTCCTTCTTATAATATATCTCTTTCTCTCACTTAAAATAATATAACTTTAACTCTTTTAAAATTACATACATTTCTTCCTTAAGACCATTTGAGGGAGTGAATATTTAATGGTCCCAGGTGGGCAGAAAAGAGAGAGTGAGAGAGAAATAAAAGAGAGAGAAATAAGGAGAGATCATGATATATTTTCCCCACGAGCTCTAAAATCATTGAAAATATTTAATACAGATTGTCGGCAAGATTGGAAAGGGAAATGCTAACAAAAATTCACAATTACTTTCAAACTTACAAGATTTGTCTTTGTATGCTGTTTCTATGGTATGAATAATAAGTAAGTCATACTCTTTTTTTCAGAAAATTTTACTTATGAAATAAGAAAAAAGAAAAAGAAGAAAAGAGAGAGAAGGCATAAGATTTTTTTTTTTTAGTATTAACGTGGAGGTATACAGTTTAATCTCCTTCAGCCATCTTGTCATCAGAGTACAGCCACTAGAGCTAGTTTCTCATTAGTACAGCAAGTGCTTTGAACAGTTGTGACCGGATACGAAATGAATCTAATCCCCCAATATAAGCTTACCCAAAAAAACATCTACCAAAAATCAAATACATGACCCCATCTTTAGAGCACAGTCAGACTACTAACTGTGCCGGCCCCTCGGGTTGAAGGCAAAATATTTTAGATAGAACATTTTCGCGTGTAAATGTAATGGATGTGACATGCTTTAGCCTTTAATATAATAAAATTCATTTGGGAGGAAAGGGATTACTCAAAAAAAAATTGTAAGGAATTAGAAAAGCACTCGGGAACTTTGCTTTAACAGCATCTCAAGCCGTTAAATGCTTTGATTTGCCGTTGTTTTCCTTTCTCTTAACCTAATCACAAGGATAAGCACAGCCTTCTTTTTCTTATCTGTCTAAACACTAGTAAAAAGTAAAAACAATAAAACATCACAATTCCAATGAAGAAAACAAACTCTAATGAAATGTTACTATAACTAGTGCTTTTGTAGTACACATTTCATTCACACCCTTAATAGCAGTGGGACCAAAAATGAATCCTCCACTTTTTTCTTTAACCCTTTTTAACTAATTGCTGTGAGATAAATAAAGATGATATTCAACTGTGTGAGACCAACTTGTTAACTTACTCTTTCCTAGATCTTTACAGCATATCCATGTAAATTGACAACATTCTATTTATTGTGACTGAAATTTGAAGTAATATCCTATTCGAAAAAATGGGTCAACAATTGCTCCATTTAGATGTAATAAAATTTTTGTAGTCAATGTCCAAAAAACCTCCAGCACATTATTTTGTGAACCAATAATCCATCTCCACTTGCTGTTTCACACATTTCACAAAGGAACTTCCGACAGTGCCTTCCATGATTTGAATCAATGATCAAAGTTCAAATAACATAGACAAAAATACACACTGACATCAGATTACTTGAGATTGACTCTCCTATCCATGGAATTAAATTATATGAATCTAACCCTTTTGGGAACCGATTCTGGTTTGGCTTTGGCTTTCAACTTGTAGAAAGGGACATGCAGTTTTGCACCAATCACTCATATTGATTGTGTATGGTGAAGAGTAACATAGAGTTGGTACTTGGCACACCACTTTTTTCAGTTTTCACTTTCATATCTTACCTAGCTAAAATCAGACACACACAAAATAAAATAAATAATAATTCCTTTGACAAATAATAGTAAAGTAATCATTTTGTTACAAAATCTTTATCCAATAGTGAATAATTCATGACAAAATAATCCACCTCACAGCTTTAAAAAGTCTTAAAAGCTAAATCCACACAATCAATCTTGTTCTCATTCCTTTAAAATTTTTAATTTTTTATCTCAATTATTATCGTTATGATTTTTTTCCCCTTGTGGAGTGAGTTGCTAAGAAGTAACAAAAAAAGTGTTTAAAATGACAAGGCCATTACACAGAACAGATATTCACACATGAATGAGTTATAACTTATAACACAGAGAGAGAGAGAGAGAGAGAGATCCACAGTTTCAAGTCAACTGAGTCCCACTCTCAGCATCTCTGACAGAACCTTCAAAGACACACAAAAGAAAAAAAAGAAAAAGAAAAAAACACAACACAACACAACACAAAACAACAGCAAGACCGAGAAAAGAAAAATGCCGATTTGAAATGACCCTTATGCCCTTCGATTCTTCGCTTTGATTCCCAGCAACGCCGCCACCACAATGGACGCTACTGCCACCAACTTCGGCAAACCCTACGCGGGTTCGGAGCTCCGGCTCGACGGGGCATCCGATGATCCGAATCGAGCCGGGTCGGGTCAGAATTCGACAGCAAGGTACAAGCTGATGTCGCCGGCGAAGCTTCCGATCTCGAGGTCGCCGTGCATTACGATACCTCCGGGAATGAGTCCGACGTCGTTTCTGGAATCCCCGGTTCTTCTTTCCAACATGAAGGTGAGTCTGCTCTTTGGGTTTCTGGTTCTTCTTCTTCACCTTTGCCTCCAATTGAAGTGTATGGTTTGGTTTTGTGTTATGTGGGAGAATTTCTCAACGGGTTTTGCGTTTCATGAGAAAAAAAATGAATAGAAAAAGGGGAAGAAAAAAAAAGGTGAATGAATTCATTGGCGGAATGTTGTTATTTTTTTTTATTTTTTTTTTTGCTAGTTCATCTTGGTCAAAGTTGGTGATTTTATTTGACCCATGTAAGGTAAAGGTCACTTAATGTGAGCGGGATGCTAAAAATTTGTTCTTTTCACTATGATTTTCTTTCAAATTCTCAGCAACCAAACAGTGCGTGTTTAGGCTGGCTTCAAGTCTTGTCATCTGGCAAGAATATTTTGATGACTTAATATGATGTGATTTGAATGTTGATGAGCTGATGATGCTGTTTTTCATTTCATGATAAAAAAATAAAAACGAAATTCTTATATGCTTGTTTGATCTCGTGGCAAATTGTTTCTTTAGAGCTGGCTATTTCCTTGTTTGATCCTTCACTTAGTACATATTGTATGGGTCCGTTAGGTTCTGATGCTTGCTCTTATTGAATTCTGTAATGGCTGCTTTATGCTCAATAGGGTATTCTGTTGGAATATGACTTTAGCTGAGGATCACTAGACATTCTCCTTTTATTATTTTAATGTCAGTGTTGTTTTTTCACATAATGAATCTTCCTTTTTGTTGGTGCTTGCCTTTTTTGTTTGTTTTTGTTTTAACGGTGTAGCAGAGTGTACAGAATATCTTCTTCTGTTTTTTCCTTTACCATTTATACACGTGGAACAAAAGAATAAATGCATTGCCAACGATTAGTGGATTGATTTTAGTTATTTGTGCTATGAGAATAGAATAAGGAATGTCAGAAAGATTGTGGGTCTAGATTTTTGTGACAGCACTTGATTTTCTAGATGTTAAACGTCTGGATGGTCTGGATATTTGTAAAATACTGTGCAACATTCATGTGGGAATGGCTTTTCTAAGTTATGATTAATTGTTTATATAACTAACTTCCACATATTATGATGTACTATGCTAGCTTTGTCATACGGAATCCAAATAAACAACATGCAAATATATGAAAAGGGTTTAATAGAGAACTTTGCTTATGCTCAATTGTAGTGGGCCGCTGGCATGGCTGGCTAATAAATCTTCTCAGTTGTTTGGTCTACTCATATGATTATATATCTTCTCTCTTTCCATTGTTATTACTAATTTCATAGGTCAATTGATTGCTGTTTGGGGCCTTAGGGTTTACAGGTATTCAGAAACTTGTTTTTTTTTTTTTTTTTTAACCCTACTCTTGTTATTTTGTCACTCTGGGAAATTAAAATTGCTTCCTGTATCTTTGTGTATTTGAATGTATAGTTTTTATCTGGATTCAGCAATTGTTGCACATAGAGCACTGTAGTTTAAATATTATTTGTTTCCTTGCTTTGCAGGTGGAGCCTTCACCTACTACTGGGTCCCTTCCTAAGCTTCATCAAACTGCGGCTTCTACTGTGTCTGCTTCATTTCCTGTAACCACTGCATGCTTCAATACCAATATTGTTGATGACAGAAAATCAAGCTTCTTTCAGTTTAAACCGCACAATAGATCAAATATGGTAATGAAATATTAATTGATATTAGTTACACTTCTATGAATATAACTTTCCAATCAAGTTATTTTTTTAATTATTATTATTTTTTCTTCTTCTTTTTCCTCAATCTCTTATTGCTTTTTATTTGGGTTCATTGATCGTCGACTCCAACTAATTTGGGATAAAGGTGTTGTTGATATTGACGTGTGAGCTTGAGTTTAGTGTTTCTTTCTCCTGTGATTTTACTTGATTCAAACCTGTGTACTAAGTTAGCAAATTGGGATAGATAGTTAGGTATTTTGTTGTTACACATCACTTTGTCACACTAGACAAAATCAATTCTTAAAGTCTTATGATCTTTCATGTTTCATGTTCTGATTAATATTGTTTTGAGGATTACTATTTGCTTAGCACTTATCCAATGCTATTTACTTATGGTAAGGTTCCTGCAGACTTCAACAACCTTGTAAGTGAACAATCTACTCAAGTAAAAGGTCCAGGAAAAGCTGAATCGTTTACCCCCTCACCATTAGTCGAAAGTGATAGAGCAGTTCCTTCTAATGAATTAAGCCTATCATCACCTGTTCAAATGGTTAGTTCTGGGGCTTGTGCTCCTGTTGATGTTGATGTGGATGAATTTAATCACAAAGGCAACACAGCTACTGGGCTTCAAACATCACATGTTGAGGTTAGAGGCAATGGTCTTTCAGTTGCAGCTGAGAGAACGTCTGATGACGGATACAATTGGCGAAAATATGGGCAGAAACATGTTAAAGGAAGTGAATTTCCGCGCAGCTATTACAAATGTACACATCCTAACTGTGAAGTGAAAAAACTTTTTGAACGCTCCCCTGATGGTCAAATCACTGAGATAATTTACAAGGGAACACATGATCATCCTAAACCTCAACCAAGTTGCCGATATTCTGCTGGTACCATTATGTCTTTGCAAGGAGACAGATCTGATAAGGCTTCTGCTTTGGCTGGTCGAGATGGTAATACCAGCCAGATGCTTCTCATTGCTTCCATTTTATGATTACTTTTGCAAAGAAAATAAACTGAATTTTTTTATCTTCTAATTCTTGAATTGTAGACAAAGCATCCAATATGTATTGTCAGGTGTCTCATGAAGCTGACCCCAACAATACTACAGAGCTATCACCTGTAGCAACAAATGGTGATAGTCTAGAGGGTGCTGGGTTTGTGTCAAACAGGACTAATGATGAGGTTGATGATGAAGATCTCTTCTCAAAGCGAAGGTATAACAACTTAGGCCAAGTTTTCCTCCAGCATGTGTGCTTACTTGCTGACCATGAGTTTTTTGTTGAGCAGAAAAATGGAACTTGGAAATGCTGATATCACTCCTGTAGTTAAGCCTATCCGGGAGCCACGGGTTGTTGTACAAACTCTGAGTGAGGTTGATATATTGGATGATGGGTACCGCTGGCGTAAGTATGGGCAGAAGGTAGTGAGAGGCAATCCTAACCCAAGGTACGTCCTCACATTAATGAAACTAGGAAATAGAAGTTGAAGTAATAAATTCCAATTTATCTTATGTCCTTCATCGAAATATTTTTTTATGTATATTGTTGAACTTTTGCTCTTGCATTCACTGTCTAGACAACAATCGAAGCGAGGAATCAACTTGATATAATAGTTTATTGAAGCTTATATAATCACTTTTCAGTCTTTTTGCTTCACAATCTGTTGCTTTTATTATGATTTAGCATTATTGTTAGCTAAGACGTGGCCAACATGGTCCCTGTTGCAGCTATGTGGCCAGTATGGTATGGGAAAAACAATCTGTATCTTGCACTGAAGTATATTCAGTTATGCACATGGTAAAGGATATAAATACGTAGTTGCAAAAGAAGGGAAGGAATTTTGTTTACATATTGTCATGGTCCATATATGAATGATTTTATATTATATATCTAACATGTCCCCTCCACGCAAGAGCCATTTGGGCTTTGTTACAGAATAGTATAAACCAGTAAAAAGGCCCTCACCCAATAGCTTAAGCTTTTGGGTTAAAATGGTTCTTTACATGGTATCAGAGTCTCATGTCACAGATTCGATCCTCACTGTCCCCATTTAATTAATAATTAATTAAGTATTGTTGAGTTTCTTAACATAGGTAGGTGGACCTATGCATTGTCCACCCTTCAAGCCTAGTGGACTCTCGTGTGAGGGGGCGTGTTAGAGAATAGTATAAAACATTAAAAAGGTTCTCACCAATAGCTTAAGCTTTTGGGTTGAAGTGGTTCTTTACATGATAAGAATCAATTCAACCCAAAACCTTAAGGCATTGGGTGAGGATATATTAATTATTTTGTGTCTCTCTAACACACCCCCTCACGCAAGAGCCCTTTGGACTTGAAGTGTGGATATGGCACAAGCCCATTTTTTGGTCTACCTTGTCCCGAGCATGCCCATTTTTGGTTTACCTTGTGCTTTTCTTAATTCCACCTGAAAATAGGAGGTGGTGAGGATCGAACTCATGACCACTTGGTCTCTCCAGCTTTGATACTATAATAAGTGTCGCTTCAACCCAAAACCTTAAAGTATTAGACGAGGATATATGTATCTTTTGTGTCTCTCTAACAAAGCTTGAAGCGTGAACAATGCACATGTTCACATACCTTTTGCTGAAATTCATGTTTTTATTAGAAGAATGTGGGCAGCAAAGATCGAACTCTAGACCACTTGGTCATAGAAGTTTTGATATCATGTCATGAGCCAACCCTCCCAAAAACATAATCTATTAGGTGAACATGAATGGTTTTATATTATACCTCTAAAATATATATAGTGTATCGGTAGGAGGCTGAGACAAGCTCTGTCCTCATTAATAGTAAGTTAAACAAATGAATCTATTAAACACAAGACTTTTTGAAGGGCTTAATCTTAAGAAATACAAGGAATACCTATAATGGATTTTTTTTTTTGGGGGGTGGGTTGGGGGGGGAGTTCTGTGATTGACATGTGGGTTATAGCATTTGGCATATCATGGTTTTCAAGAATAGAAATGGAAACTAGATTCTGTAATTATGTGTTTTCTGAATATTAAGCTCATGAAAGGAATAGGTATAGGAAATTCACTTGGATGACTTTGGGAAGCTGTTCTAATATTCATTCAGAATATTTTTATTTTTATGGGTTTTCTGACTCATCAAATGTGAAATAATTGCAAAGTTGTACTTGGCAGTAGAAGGTTGATGAGAACTGATGGGGCTGCGGATCTTAAAAGGGAACTAGAATATTAAATAGATAATGATGTAGATACAAGTAGAAAATTAAGAGCATGATTGCTAAAATTTTGCAAAGAAACAGTGTGGTTAATTCAAGTGGCAGTAGACTATTAGATTAGATATAAAAAAATGTTAAAACCGTAGGACATATGGATGGGGTGTGTGTGTGATATTTTTTTTTTCATGTTATTTCTGAGTAAAGTGGGACTGTCATCCTGTTGGTTTTAGATAATGACTGGTTAGCAAAACCCCATTTTACAATTAAGCTTGTTGATGTCTTTTTCTGAATTCATTGGACAGGCACTTATATGCAAGTAGTTATGAATTGGGCTATATTTACCCGAGTTTTGTTGTTATAGTTATCCCAGGAAGTGTCTGTACTACGATGGGGACAATCATTAGTTTAGCTGTCACTACCATGGATCCAAAATGTTACTTCTTATGTTTCCTCTGTAAAATAATTATATTTTGGTGCTTTATGATGAGCTTCAAAGCATGGGATCGAAAATCTGGTATGTGTACTTAGACCTTGGTGGATGATAGCTTGTTTTACAGATCCATGCTTATGATCTTAACTTACTTTAGTTAACTAAAACATGGTACTTAAAGCCACTAAGATTGGTCTAGTGGTGAGGGGTTGGAGTAGTTTGCATGAGGTCCCAAGTTTAAACATCAGTGCTCCCATTGTATCAAAAAAAAGAAAAAAACATGGTACTTAACTGCATAATAATGTTTCTTACCATGCTTATTATGCAGGAGTTATTACAAATGCACAAATGCTGGTTGCCCTGTTAGAAAGCACGTGGAGAGGGCATCTCATGATCCGAAAGCAGTAATAACCACATACGAGGGTAAGCACAATCATGATGTACCGGCTGCAAGGAGTAGTAGCCATGACATGGCAGGACCATCAACTGCAGGTGGACAGACTAGAATTAAGTTAGAAGAAAGTGATACTATTAGCCTTGACCTCGGAATGGGCATGACCTCAGCTTCTGAAAATAGATCAAACGGGCAAGGCAAAATGCTGCTCTCTGAATTTGGGAATGGTCAAAATCACACCAGCAATTCCAATTTCAAGTTTGTTCATACTACCCCAGCTTCCGTTCCTGTATACTTTGGTGTTCTAAATAACAGCTCAAATCCGTTTGGTTCTAGAGAAAATAGGAGTGATGGTCCATCTTTAAACCATTCCTCGTATCCTTGCTCACAGAACATGGGAAGAGTACTAATGGGTCCATGAAACTGTTTACACAAGAAAAATTAAAATAAAATTGTGAGTTGCATTTTGCTTTCTTCTTTTTGGCGGGTATAGCATCAAAGGTAAAACATCTCATTTTCTATAAGAAAATGCAGGTAGTTCTTTTATGTTTATATCACAATATTTGAGAGCTGCTGTTTAGTATAATTGGTAGTAGCTCCGGGTTGACTTTTAAATCTAATTGCTGTTTGTAATTGTATAATTATATATCCAAATTCTTCTGTATAAATATGAAGCTGATATCATAGCTGCTTCTACAAAAACCTTGTAAAAGTGCTTGAGTGAAACTATTAAGTAGCGTTTAGCCTTTTACTGAACTTTTGCATGTTGTGTTCACGATTTCACATCGGGTAACCTCAGCCCCGAGTCCCCACTGCATTGGTTACGAGACGTACATGTCCCGTGATTGATGACCTGTTTGGCTATATTGAAATTTGATGGAATGCACGTGACGATACCATGAATATGTACTTGCTGGATTTTCTCGCACTATTTTGTGTAGATTTAGAGACTCTTAACACGAGCTTTTTTAACATGATTGACACGTACTTGAATAGAGATAAACATAAGATTTTATGAAGGAATACTGGTGGGTAAAATAGTTGTATCTATTCTCTCTTGACATATGAAAAACTCGTAACAAGTATGTGGAAGTGATATGGAATTATGAATGCCAGTGTGTAGAAAGTGCAACTCTTGTATGAATAATGATGCATTCAGTTGTGACCAGCGGAGGAGATGAAAATTATTCAAGTAAATATAAATACAAATTCTCATCTCAGTTTCCATTTCATCCTGGGAAAACTTTTTCTTTTTTTTTGTTAGTCAAAGTTGAGCTTGAGATATAAGATACTAATATAATATTCTGTATTTAGGTTCCATAGTTATACCAATGACAAAACTAAAAGGAATATGAAAGCTTCTAGGTAGTACGAAGGAAATAATGGTTGAATGTTAATAATTACACATGCCTTATCCTTTTTATCAACTGATAAACCGAAGCCCATTATTCACTCCTTGGTTTCAGTAGCAAAAAGGATACGCTCCATCCCTTTCAGCCTGTGGTTTGGGGAGGGGGACCGCAGTATTGATAAATGTGCTGTGCGTGCCACTTCTAGAAAACTGACAGAAAGAATAGATATATTTGCATATTCCTATAGTAACATTTTACATTAACATCAATCTAGCCGCTGTCATTTTTTGTTTTCACATGTCAGGGTGTGATTAATTTAGTGTAATATTTGGATTGTATTTAAGAATTTTCTTATAAAGAGCAACAAAATATATCCACTGGGATTAGCCTAGTGGTGTGGGGTGTGTGTGTTAGGTGTATGTAGTGTAGTGGTGTGTTCAATTCCGATATAATGCAAAAAAAAAAAAAAAAAAAGAGCAACAAAATAAAAGGTTATAATGAAACCAAAATGTGGGAAAGTTTAATGAATCCTGCCAGAATAACAGTTTCTGGCGAAAAAGTAAATGTGTAGAACTAAATGTGCTAGTTAGATGGACGAGATAGAAGAATTTTAGTATTATTTTGCAAAAAAACATTCATATTTATGAAGAATACTTTTTATTAATCCATCATCAATTGGATTTGCATGCTACTACTTGGACTATTGATGGAATAATCCTTAAAGATTGGATTCTCTTGGCTTTATCTTTGAACTATTCTGACATGTTCACGTTGGTCTTTAATTGCACTGCAAACGAGTACAACTTTCTTAAATTCGTATATTTGTCTTAGTTTGGACAGGACTGAAGAATGATGAAGCCACGTCATGCCCCATTTATCCACCGGAGAGCTATATGGTTTCTGGTTGATCCTTCCCCCTCAGAGCCAGATGAGCCACCCATGAGCATTTCTTTATCCTTACCATATCATCATCTATAAATCCTTTAGAGCATGTGAAAGGTTATAGTTTTTAAACAATTTAAATATCAAGAAATTAGAGATAAAAAAAGTTCGAACTCTTATTTGCTTTATTTACTATGTGAATGTAAAAAGCAATGCTGGAGACATGACTCTTTAGGTCTCAAAAAGTCATGGCCATGTTTCTTTGTGCTTTTATTTTCTGTCTTTAGAGCTGTGCTTATTGCTTTTTCTTTTTCATAAAATGTAAAGGTAAGGTTAACCGAAATAAATAAATAAATGTTAGGTGCATATTTTTGTGACTCAAACCGGTAGATTTTATATGGCTTTTGTAAATTTTTATTAGCTAGCCATGTGATATTGACATTGTAACTAAATTAAATCAAAGAACTACTGGCTCCAAACCGACAAAAGAAATAAAAAAAAAACCTATCATCTATGCACTTTATTTTATTTTTTGTCACTTGTAAAATTTTGCATGTTTCTGGGACAAATAGTTACACAAGAAGCGATTCTTTTTGTGTTTTATATATTTCAATCCACACGCGCACACATAGAGAGGAAGAGGAATAGAGAAAGAGATGCATGCCTTGTGGGTCTCCTTGAAGGATAATGTTAAATGTGGAAACAAGTTCACCGATGTAATCAGGCAGCCAACAAAATGCAGCAAAGGATGTAACTACGTTTCAGAAAAGGAAAAAATGAACGGAGATAATGGTCCTTTAATGGAAACTCATGCTAGCCTAGTAGTTTCTAGGCCAAGCAAACCACTGGCACGGCTTCATGGTAAATTGTTAATTTGTTGCTCTTATTTGCATTAACACATAATATTTGAGCTTTCTCATAACTCAACAGTATTCCAATGAGTTTCAAAATGGAGTTTGAAATATAAGAATTACTGATTTATCAGAAATCCATGTAATGAATGTAACAGGCTTGTAAGAAGAAACTAGTTAGAGCAGTTCATGTATACTTCCAACTTCTTTTATATCCTTTATTTCATTATCTATGTTATATAGCTATTAACTATTTCCTCTTCATTATAAAATTTTGGCAGAGCTCATTATTGGAGACCCATCAAGAAAAATTGTTGAGATGATTTTTCAGAAAGCTTGGATGAACACCTCAAAGCCACTGAGGAAGGTTAGAACAGTCCTCAGGGTGAGCTACTCGGCAGAAGTTCTTGAAAGGTTTGAAAATTACAGAGAAAAGGTGAAGAAGAACTCCTGTGACCAATTTCCAAGGCATCCAAGGAGCACAGTGGATGGAAATGAATTGTTGCGGTTCTATGGCACTACAGTGAGATGTTTCCAAGAGAAATCTGTGAAGAAAGTTTATGATCTCTGTAAAGACCCATCTTGTTGTCTGTGTCGAATAATTCAATACAATTTCAACACAGAATATGCCGAGATTCAATTGAATACAAGTGGCAAAGAGTTGAGTAATAGAACAAATGCCACTGCAAGAGCAAAGAATGTGAAAAGAGCTGCAATTGTTTGCAGGATAATTGCTGGAACTGCTGTTAATGAAGTTGATGGTGAATATGAAGGGTCTGACTTAACTGGATTAGAAGAAATGCAATATAGCTTAGAGAAATTTGTAATTAAAAATCCCAGTTCTATTCTTTTTTGTTTTGTAATAATTTTCAGCTGACATGTTTTGCAGGTATAAATTGTCAACATTCTTTTTATCTCTGGTAAGGGGTATCTATTCTAAAACACACTACATACCAAAATTCAGAATATATAGTCCTGATTGCTGGTACTGGTGTTATTGACATAAAATCTAGTATGCTTTCTAACAAATCAAAGAGTAATTTGACTATGAAATGAGGAATTCACGGAAAGAGTATAAGAATAATACATAAACTAACTGAAAGCCTGCAGAAAAAAAAAAATGAACCAGTTGTCATTGGATTATCACCTCCAAGAACAAGAGGCAATAAGAACTTGATTCATCCAACCAAGATATAGAGCACCATCTCTCTCTTCAAGAGTGTAATGTCCTTGGTAGCTTTCCTGAAGATTTTTTATTGAACAATTAATAAAGGGGCTCAATGGATATGGTGTGAATCCAGCCATTATGAAGCGTGATCTCCACTTCTTCAGAAGCTCATGACGTTCCACTCTTTCTGCCCCTTCACATGCTACTAAGTTGACAACTTCTCGAGCCAAACAATGCTGTTCCACATTAATCCTTTCTCTGTGCTCCCTTGGAAGTGCAACATCAATTGATTCAAAAACAGCCAAGTAGTAATTCATTGTCTCAACAAAACGGGGGAAGAATGGGAGGTTGTTGGTATTTGATTCTTGCTCAACCAGTGTCACTACCTTAGGAGACAAGGACTTTGCCAATTTCAACAACCGGTCTCGATGATTCTGACTGTCCACACTTTCATCTGGTACATGATGCAGCATCATTGCAAAATTCACAGCAATAGCTTCACCAGGTCGAAGTTCAAGGTCTTCAAGTCCTACCTCAGTAGGAGCAGCTCCTATAGCATGGAACTCAAAGGGTACATTATATGATTGTGCATGTCTTGATAACCTTTCTCCAACAATATCAAGCCCCCCACCCCTAGCATAAGCTGAAGTAGAGTCATCAACACCTGTTATTCTAATCTTTGGGGCTCCTCCTGGTCTTCCAGCAAGAGCTTGAATTAGGCTTATCCACTGGGTTCCCTGGTTAATCTGAAAATCGATTATATGGACTTTTCTTTCCTCTTTCATGGCTTCAGCAATTGCTCCATTTGCTGACATGTACCCAAATTTGAGATATGGGCAGATTTCATAAAGTACATGCATGTACGAAAGGAGTTCATTCCCAGTAGGCTCTTTACATTTCAAGGCTTTGTAGATTGTGCTTCCTGAAGAAGCCAACCTTGCAACAAGAGCCTCCAACATATATGCACCCAATCGTTGGATTGGGTTGCCAGTAACCGACACCATTTTAGGCAACTCCGACATCAACCGGTCGGTTGTCTCCATATCATTCACTGCCATTGCTTTTGCACAAGTACAAAGCATCTCTTTCAAATCCCCTCTAGATATCATCTCCTTCATTTTCTTGCACTTCTCAGCCTCTAACAAGAATGAATCAGATTCACGTGGAGTTACAGGATCATATATGTCCAGAACATCTGCATCAAGTCCCAGCATAGCACTTTCGAGCTCCCTTATCTTGTGCATCAGTTCATCGTGGTCATGTGTCAAACTAGATTCATTTTCTAGTGAATCACTAATAATTTCAAGAGAATGCTGTGACCTCAACACACATGATTTTGATTGGAGCTTTGAGACTGGGCTATTGTAAGGTGAGAAACTGACAGTAGATGGAGAATGTTGGTAAGGGAAACTGTTGTTTGTAGAAGATTCAAGGGTGGAATATTGTTCTAAAGTATGAAAAGAAGGGTAGGTTGCATGGCTACTGTTATCAGAGGATGAGTAGTTTTCTAGGTTCTCACTTGGCAGAAAGCAACAATACTCCAAATTTTGCTCTGGCTCCGTGCTGAACAAGCCAGAGCCAAAGGACATTTTATGTTTCTGAGACGTTTGCATTGAAAAATAACCGGTTCTTTGGATATACTTAAACAACAGTAAAATATGTTTCTGATACAAACACTTCCAAATTTTCTGATTGCTCTCTTTGTTGGAACAACAAATGTCAGTAACTTCTACTTTTTAAGCTCTGTTGATCATTGTCCACATTTCAATCCAATTTCTGCTGGACAAGAGCAGTGTACTCAAAACCTGAGATCTTCTGCAGAAAAGGTAACACAATAATTAAAGCAACAAAGATAGATAAAAAAAAAAACCAGAGCTATAACAATATTAAGCAAAAGTGAAGTCTCAATCCTGATGGTATAAGAAGCAGGTAGTGTTGAGGCTGTTGCCTAAAACTGGTATTCTTTGAGGTTAGAAATTAAAGTTTATGGAATATATTACTCAAATAAAGGCTGGAAACCAGTAAGAACAGAGTTGGATTATTTATTAAAGTCATGAATAAGCATTTTAAAACTAGAAAAGCAAATTTCTTTACAGCATAATCTATATTTTCCAAATCTATTATATACTATTCGAACTAGCAGCATACCAAAGAGGTAGTGTCTGATTTTCACATTCCACGTGTACAGAATATAATAGTTCTTAATCTCTGAACTCTACTGCAATTTTATCATTTTATTTGAATCTTTTTATTACTAATCTGTCTCTGCATTAGTTTTTCCCTTTCCACCACATGTTATTGTTTGTGATTTCAAATTTGTGCAATCAAGAAATGGAAATTGGCTAAGATGAATTAAACTATATGATGAATTTTGGAGCACCTACTGCTACTTAAAGCAACACCTTTTCTTCCTCTCTTTTTTTCTTTTTCTTTATTTCTTCTAAATGAAAAAGGTGATGCTATTCATGGTTTTTTATTTCCTTAAATGGATATTCAAAAGATCCATTAGTATTTTCTTGAACTCAATTCTCGAAGCATGCTCTAAACTTCAACTCAATTACATAGAAAGATGAAATTTTGTATGAGACATAGCTAAACCTTAAACATTTGATCACTACTTTCCTGGAAGAGGGACTTCCAAGATAAAAAGTAAAAAAAAAAAAAAAAAGGCATTCAAATATAAAATCATTCAATTCCAAACACACTGAAACACAGAAACAGAAAAATTTTGATCAACCACCCCGCTGACTCAATAATACCTAAAGTGATCCACTAAGTTTTCCCTCTAAAAAAAAACCTAAGAACCATCGACAAAATAAAAAAGCTCATTGAACTATAAACCAGAAGGGGTTGAAACCTGGAAATCATTTCTCTCATTAAACATACCATAAAAAAAACAATTTTTTCTGCTCTGATAACAAGCACAGACCCTCTATGGTAAAATCACTTCCCTCCCTCAACATACTCATATAAACCAATAAAACAAAATCAGTTAAATAATTACTGAGACTTTCTCACCTTAATGAAAAGGAAAGTATGAATTGAACTTTGAAGCGAAAACAACACAGAACCAGTTCAATAATTGCTGAGACTTTCTCACCTTTTTTTTGTTGTTGGTAAAATGAGACTTTATCACCTTAATGTGGAGTTGGCATGCATATGCTATATAGAGGTTTTGTTTTTCTGGTTTTATTCAAGGTTGGAGGTTACACCAAATACAAGGTTGTTGAATGCTATTTTTTTTATACGAAATTAGGAACGCTTACTCAAGCAATGAAAAAGTCTAGTTTTTTTCTGAAATTAATTGATGTTACTAGACGTATTCAACCATGTTTAAGAATAATACTATATAAGTATCCTAACAATCAAGTTGCGTTACTACCGTGTTACTATCAATCAATCTCACCGTTAGATTAATTATGTTAATCCAACGGTTATATTTATTTTCATTTTTTGTATGGTTATGATTCCCCATATTTAAAGTGAAAGCATTAAATATAAGAAATCATAACTATACAAAGGTGGAAATATATATAAAGTATTAAATTTGAGAAATCATGACCATACAAAGATGAAAATAAATATAACTGTTGGATCAACATAATCGATTTAACGGTGAGATTGATTGGTAGTAACATGGTAGTAACATAACTTGGTTGTTACAATATCGTTCCCCATAATTATCTCCCAAATTTGTCGTCTTTTTTAGTATTAAAATTTGTCGTTTTTTCATTCATAATAAACTTGACTTTTAAAGTTGAATTTGAGTTATTCCTCTTAATCCCCTTTTAACCATTATATTATTTTCATTAAGTTTTAAAACTTGAAAATTTTTACATGCTCATTTAACTTATAAAGTAAAATTCAAAGGGAGGGGTTATATTTACAACCTAGATAGTTTATAAACTCTTACAAATATATTTTAACCAGTGATTTTCGTTAATTAACGGTTGCTATTTATTGTGAATTAATAATTAATAAATAAATTTAATTTACGAAAATTTTAACCGTTGATTGACGAAAATCAACGGTTAAGATATGGTTGTAAGAAGTTGTAAACGAAAATAGGTTGTAAGTATCAAAATATTAATGTATTTTCTCATGTTATATTATAGGGGTTTGCATTTGTCATTTAACATGACACAACAAACTTTTCTACACACACAATATTTTATGGGGCCTATACTTTTTGAAGAAGAAAAAAATTAAAGTGCACAAAACAAATTTTTAAAACATTGCAGAATCACTTTTCCTACCTAACTCTTATAAAACTTTATATTATATGTGTACTACTAAGAACTTTAAAGCTGTCAATCTGTCATGTTCTATTTGTTTTCCACTTCTCTGAATACAGACGCACGTGCATGACAACATAAACATTAATTAAAGGCCAGATGCAAATAACTATCCTCAATTATCTGTCATTTTCAAAGTTCTTCCTATCCTTAAAAATTTAACAACTCTACTTTTTAAACTTAAACCTATTTTTTTTTTGGTACATTACCAGGAGGTATCCACATTCAACCTTCTCCGGGCACCATGCCCTCGGGGTACAGCCCGTTTGGGCTAGCCCCTCATTGTAACAGTGGGTGCACTAAGCTTCGCAACCGGAGAAAGGACGAGACTAATCCCCCAACCGAAATTTTTTTGGCTTATCTTCTGGCCCCCAAAGATTTTTCAAGAAACTGCTTGAGACATGGTTTGATCCCTGCACCAAGCAATCCCTTGGGAACTCAGCTGCCAGCTGAGCTACCTTGGGGGTTAACTTAAACCTATTTTACATACATAAAAAAAATCACATAAGAAATCAATAGGCATATTTTGCTATGTTACATGAGAAATTTTTTTATCAATTTTGCGAAATTGACTTAGGGTGTTTCTTACATTTTAACCTTAATTGAATTAACAGTAATAACTTTGACCTCTCTTGTATTAGTGTTTCTTAGTTGTTTGAAAAAGAGAAAATATTAGTGTGTCGGTAAATAGGTTGTTGTTACTTGTTCTAACATAGCCCCACACGGTTTACTTCATTTTCAAAATATCAATCCATGTTTTCTTTGTACGAGTATTCCTTGTCACATAATTCCCTTTCGTTTGTGCACAATTTTAAATCTTTGTCTAAATTGGACTTAACCATCGATACGTCACTTTCGCCTCAACCCTTCAATCGGCAATCACACCTACATCCATAAATGTATCACTATATGCTTCAAAGTACAAATGCCAAGTGTTTTGTTTTGTCACTTGAGCGTTGAAAAACCAAATTTTGTAGATGCTATCTCGTTGTAGAAGTTGAGTTGAATTTAAACTCGTGCGTTGTTCTTTTTTTTTTTTTAACACCAGCATGCTGCACGCCCAGATTATGTCATTATCGTAATATAAAATGACATGAATTTCTTGTCATCCACGCGTCATAGATTCGCAATGGTTATTCATTGTTTTTTTTTTTATTTAAAAAAAATACTTTTACTAAACAAAAAACAACGAAAATATATCTTCTCATGTAAAAACAAAATATGATATGGTCATGTGAAAAAATTACAACCATAAAAAAATGAAGCAATAGTTATAATTTTGTAACTATCTATATTAATATTTTTTTCTCTTTTTTTATTATTATTAATTTATCTTTATATGATTATGATTCTTTACATGAGATCCCGGATTCAAAAACAACTGGTTAAGCCTATAGCATTACTTTTGTCTAGAAAACATTGTTGTTTTCCAAAGTTCTGACTTCTGAACATTTTAAGGAGTCCTCACATTTTTCTGATTACCCATGTTGGACCTGAAGTTTAGGTATCTCAAGTTGGACTGTTGGAGACCTGATTCACTGGTTAGAATTTTATGTAAGATCTACCAACAAATGAATTGAATCATTTGCATTGTGAAATTTATGATCCAAAAATTACAGATCAATAGTCTAAAATTTCCAAGTACTAATAAGTTGAGGAGACCTCTATGGAAAATGACAAAGGGAACACTAATTGAATTGGATCTGAATTTTCCTTCTGCTTTTTCTCTTTAGTCCATTTCTACTTTATGTTTGTGATAAGCATGAGGAAACAGTACTAGCGAAAATTAGGCCCCCGAATACAGAAAGTACAAAATTTGTAGTTGACCCCTACCAATAATATTAACAATTCTTAAATGCAACGAGGCATGAAAATATATTTTGTAGCAGAGCGGATGCACTGATCCGTACATACAATGATACAACACTATTAACGTGGTACTTTTTTTGTCAGTAAAGTCTTACCTTACTGCATGATCCACGCAGACATAAGATGCTCATGCATTAATAAATAATAATGTCCTAAAGCAGTGAAACATAGACGAAGAAAAAGATAATATTCGCAGATCTTGTTGGAGACTTGTGTAGACTACAGTAGGTAGTTCAGAGTCAAATAACAATTAATTGTCTTACGCGTATCTGACATCAGAATGACATAGTTATAGAGAAGAAGAAGAATCATCTAGGCTGCCTAATTGAAAAAGAAACTTGTGTATGGAAAAAAATTTAGTACTCTTGATATTGTCTTTTTATCAAACGAGTGACACTTGTATAAATTTTTTTTTTCTCTGTCCTGAGTAATTATCACATTTTCATTGGTTTGAATCACTGGAAAATTGGTGTTCAAGGAGCACCAAAAGTCTTCTCCTTGTCTATTTCTCCTTGTGTATGGCATTATTGGTATTGGTAAAAAGATTTTATAATGTCAATGTTCAATTAACATACATGGCTTTTGACAGAATAAAACAGATTTTGACCACCCCAATACGAGGTACATTATAAATTGAATGCACGAGTCAAGCTCATAATTATAAAGAAAAAAATTCCACCAACTTGCATTGGATGGAAAGAAATGTTACACGCCCTTAAGCTAAGGACTATACAGGAGGCTGTTGTTTTTCCACTCAGCGTTCAACTTGGAGAATTGAGCATGATTGGTGTAAAGGAAAAATAAATAAATTATATTTTCAAAATATAAAAGGGACTCTCATTTTGAGTGTGAAGGCTACTTAAAATTGGAGTCAATTCAATCAGAATCCTAGACACAGAAACAACCAACAATGAATAAACAGCTAGAATTCCAAGCGTTTAAGAAGAGAGCAAGGGATAAACCAAGCTTCTACCACTTTTTTTTTTTAAAAAACAAAATGTCAAATATTGGTATCAAGCTACACTTTTGCAAGATCAACCATAGCTGAATTATAGATCTCAACCATGCTGAAACATGTGTAGCATCTTGATCTGAGCACAGAAGAAACTCCTCACTTTTATTTTTCATCATTGGTGCACAGAGAATTTTCCTAGAGTATATCAGTAAGGTAGCAAATACCATTTCTTGATCTTCCCAATAAAGTCTGTAGTGGTAACCATTGCAAATAGCTTTATTATGTTGTTTTTACATAGGTGTATGATAGAGATTGTTCCCACAAACATAGAATCTGAGCTAAAATACAGTTGTCACTGTTTGAGTATGGTTGTGCAAAGCTGTATAAGACATTAACCAGAAAAGAATCTTTTCCAAGACTGCCAAGGAAGAAATCCACCTGCAATAGATAGCATATGAAAGATTGTAAGGTAATCGACTTTACACGAATAGCTAACTCAAAAGTAGATCAACACAATCACATAAATGACAAGAAAAATAAACAAACAATAAAACAATGAGAAGTAACAAGTTACTTAAAGCTGATAATTATGTTATGATCATAATTTACAAAATTTCTAAATCGATATTAAGGTTATAAAATCCAGTTCTTCCTCCCTCTTGGGATTTCCAGAATAATTGAGGGATTGAAACGGAAGCTACACGAGACCAACTAGAGGCATTGCAATTACACTGCTGGAATTACCAAACGAATTTTAGAACTGACCATCATATCAAGCGTCACAAAACCAAAATGAAAGGAATTATGAAAAAAAATCTCCATTTATCGACATTTTAACATCAAAAGATTCTCAGTATGACAACTAAGCATCTTGATTATATGTAGATTTAAAATCTCATCTTTGATATAACAAATAGATATTCAAATTAGCTTGGGAGTCCAGGGATTTCTACAATTCCTGGGCATTCTATGCAAGTCTGAATAATTCAAATAGTCATATCAAAGAAGAGATTTTAAATCTACATATAGCCAAGATACTTAGTTTGATGTTAAAATACTGACCTATCAAAATTCCTCTAAAAATCCCATAAATGAGGAATATTTAAGAGGCATACAATGACATTTTCTAAGCTGTATACTTAATTGCTCATTGGGCCTTCTTATTTTAATTGCGCTTACAAATTCGAGTATAGAAAACAATCTTTTTGTAAAAATACAAAGGTAAAACAGCGTATAATGGACCTTGACCCTTGCCCTTGCAAAGTCAGGGAGCCTTAGGGTTTGCCTTTTTGTAGTTCATGAAGAAACATATATGTGATACTTACATACATAGTAAGTTTTAAAAATGAAGGGTGACCTAGAGTATGAAAATGATTAGAATCAAAATGTAGATAAAAATCATAGAATAAAAAGAAAAGCCAAGGGGTCAACAACCGTGCAGAAGAAAAGAATGCAACCATACCACATCCTGGGCAACGGCAATAGTCCTTTTCCCTAAGAACAAGCCCTGATCCTCCACAGAACTCACATCTTCTTTGAGCTATCTGTAACAATATTCCATAAGGAAGACATAAAACATACGAGATTCATAATTTGTGAGTTAGATCCAAGCCCCAATCAACCAAAATAGTGGCTTACAATTCTTTTGCTAAATTCAATCCCTGCCACCACAAAAGGTGTAACCCCAGCTGCAAAACTCAAAAGAACAAGCACACAGAAAATCAAAACCCAAATATTGACACAACACAACACACCCTTCTCGTTATGGACAGATAAACATAAAAGTAAAACATCAAAGGAAGTGAGAATCAAGGGATATTCATGTGATACCTATAGTTCCAACCACAATTTGCCACGTGACTTCCACTGGAGCCGAGTCAAGTACTGTTGTTACATCATTCACAGCACCCACCCTTGTTGTTGATCTTCTTCTTTCATTCTGAACCCAAAAATTGCAACTTTTTCTCACAGGAAATCCAACCGTTGCTTTTGTTGTCGAACAATTCACTCTGCTTCTAGTTTTCGCACTCGTTAAGGAAACCAAAGACAAACAAGACCCAGCTGCTTCCATGGCAACGGCCCAACCGGTTCAATTCACAACACACAGCTGTTATTAAAATAAATAAATAAATAAAAAAGCCACGTGGGCCATTTTAACCCACGGGCTCGTGCCATCCACAAATAACTGTGTGATTCATGTTTCAGATATGCATCAACTAAAAAACGACACCGTTTAAGAACGAGAATCGGGTATCACGGGCTTGCTCGTAAAAAGCCCATGGCAGGCCCAAGATAGAAAAAGAAGATAAACCTCTTGTCCTAACAGTACTGAGATTCCGGTTGTTAGGGTTTTGTAGTATATTCTTTTCTGTTTCTCTTTCTTTCTTGGAAATTGGAATGGCTGCTATTCTCTCTCTCTATCCTTACAATCCCTTGCTATATTGTCCAACTCCTCCTTCGTCTTCTGGTTCTTCATCGTGCATCGACGGAAGAGGAAGCAAGGCGGTGGTGCTTGCGGCGCATTCCAATCCGAAGATTCTCAAGACCAATAGGAAGTCAAAGTACGGACAGGTCCTGTCGCCATACGACAGCGATGAAGAAGATGAAGGAATTGAGGAGGAGAAGGAGGACGACGACGACGACGATGGTTGGCTCTCTAATGTAAGTGTTGTAATTCCATTTTCCAATTTTGAAATTTCATCTTCAAATTCTAAGATGAGCAACTTATAATGTTTAATTATCTGTTGAAATTTGATATCGACGTTTGGAGATTTGTTTTTAATTTTCCTTTTCATTGATTGTGGAACATGTACCCAGGAGGAATTTGCTGAGCCTGCTAACTTTGATGTTGGTAGCAAGAGATTTAAGTCAAACGCAATTAAAGGTATGCTTGAAAGATTTTACTTAGTCTTAATAGTTTCTAAGAGAAAAGTTGAACATTGCATAACCTTGTTTTTGCAGGAAAAGATAGACAACAAGAAAAGGAGTTCGGTGTGAGATCTTTTAACAATGGAGAAAGCACTAAAACGCCTGGAAGTGAGAGATTGGCATCCTTGCGACTAAATTCCAGTGGAAAGGTACCAAATGGTGATACAGTAAGCTGTTAAGTGTCAAATCATGCCATTTAATGTACTTGCGGTGCTATAATTGCAGCTTGGCAGAAATCTAAAGGAAAAAAAGTATCCACGGTTGTCCGAAGAGATTGATTTGGATGTGAAATGGATACCACTTCTTGATTACTTGACCACCTTTGGAATTAAGGAATCACATTTTATCCAAATGTATGCGAGGCACATGTCATCACTTCAAATCAATGTATGTTCTGCACAGGAAAGGTTGGAGTACTTATTTAGTGTTGGTGTTAAACATAGAGATGTACGAAGAATCCTTTTGAGGCAGCCACAAATTCTGGAGTATACAGTGGATAACAATTTAAAGTCTCATGTTGCTTTCTTGATGGGCTTGGGTATACCTAATTCCAGAATAGGGCAAATCATTGCTGCTGCTCCATCTCTGTTTTCTTATAGTGTTGAGAATTCGTTAAAACCAACTGTGAGATATTTAATTGAGGAAGTTGGCATCAAGGAAAAGGATTTGAGTAAAGTCATTCAGCTGAGCCCACAAATTCTTGTCCAGCGTATTGACATTTCATGGAATACTCGATATATGTTTCTTACAAAAGAGTTGGGTGCACCCAGAGATAGCATTGTGAAGATGGTGAAGAAACATCCCCAGCTTCTCCATTACAGCATAGATGATGGATTACTGCCAAGAATAAATTTTCTAAGGAGCATAGGAATGAAAAATTCAGACATCTTGAAAGTCTTGACTAGCCTTACACAGGTTATTTTGCATTTATTTTCTTCGTTATTGATATATGAAATATATCCTTTTTTACTGTCCCACATTTCCATTCTTCCTTATCATAGTTTACCCTACATTTGCACAGAAAGAACAAGGGAAATGAAATAAATGTTAGATTATATAGTCATGTTTTTTATCTTTTGGATTGATCCTTCTTATAATGTGAAGAATAGTTTATATCTCTTGTTGACTCCTGAGCCTGCAGGTGCTATCTCTGTCCTTGGAGGAGAACCTAAAGCCCAAGTATTTGTACTTGGTAAATGAACTTCACAATGAGGTGCAATCCTTGACCAAATACCCGATGTACCTTAGCTTGTCTTTGGACCAGAGAATTCGACCTCGTCATAGGTTCTTGGTTTCCCTGAAGAAAGCTCCAAAAGGACCATTTCCACTTGGATCTCTAGTTCCAACTGATGAGTGCTTTTGTGAACAATGGGCTGGAACTAGTCTGGATAAATATTTGGCATTTCGTCAGAGATTATTAATCCGAAAATTCGCTGAAAAATATGAAAGAAAAATGTGACAGATCGGAATCAAGTTTTGTTATTCAACATGCATGAGTACTGGAAGAGAAATCTCTTGTAATTCTTTTTTCGTGCAACTTGTTACTATAAAATGTTCCTGAAGCTCAATAGTTCGAGTTTACTCAGCTGTCTGCCATACTGGTGTGCACGTGATTTCATGACACACCCAAATATCAGTGTCTTAATCTCGGCTGAAGCTGCTCAACCTCTTGTGTGAAATTTATTATTGCTGTTTATGTTGGAGTTGTAGACTTGTTTACAAAGTGCTCGTGGTGCAGTCTGCCACCGTAAGGTGAGCTTGTTTAATAGTCAATAATTAATACTTTCAATATGTTGTTGTTATTAACCCCTAACTTACTGCAGGTTGTAGGCAATTTTGCGAACTTTCATTTCTATAAATTGAAGAAAGAAGCTGTATCAACTTTAAGATCCAGCGTATGGATTCCGTCATTATTAATTTCTTTTTCCCTTTTTATCTTCAATTATATACTCTAGTATATTGCATTTTTTTTCTCATTGGTATTTATATTCTGTGTATCTCAAAATCAGTAGGACATCTTTTGTTACACTTATCACCATCACCATATATACACATTTGTTACCGTGCAGCCATTTGTAACACGTGTACGAGTTAAAATAACATTATTTTTAAGCTTCAGAGGATTTGTAATTCAATTCCAACTTGCTTCTGGATATTTATTTATTTATTTACTATTTTTAAATTTCATATTATTATAATTATTTTTATTATTATTATTATTATTATTATTTATTTTCTGGATATTACATGCAACTTGAGGGGGGTTTTTTGAGATTTTTTTGGTTTTCAGATTGACAACTTGAGGTTTTAGTAGGTGTAATACATCACTGTCATCCTTCACTCATGTATTATCAGAAAAATAAAATAAAATCTTTCCCTCGAATATTGTTTGATTCATGTCTGAGAATGATATTTTTTATTGTGATAATGACAAAGATATCCATATCAAAGGAGGAAATCATGAGAAAATAGGTAATAGATTGGCCAATACGTGTTTTTTTTTTTAGCTTATGAGATTTTATATATTACTGTGTTCAATTTATAATTTAGTATTAGTAATCAGATTGTATATAAAAGTTATACATATTAATATTTGTGTCGATTAATAGTTAATATTCTAGTATAATTTGAAGTAGAAAAGATGGGTCTTGGACATTTTACTTTGGAAATTTATTTTATTGTACCGTTGGATTCCACAGACATGTCTATTTCACCGAGCCTCTCTCCGAGACAGTGCCCAGATCGTTACGCCTTTCGTGCGGGTCGGAACTTACCCGACAAGGAATTTCGCTACCTTAGGACCGTTATAGTTACGGCCGCCGTTCACCGGGGCTTCGGTCGCCGGCTCCCCTGTCATCAGGTCACCAACTTCCTTGACCCGAGCACGCTTAAGGAAAGTCGAAACGGAAGCAGATCGATTTCGAGTGAATGGTTATTCTGAAATAGAACGAGAAAAATCGAATGTTATTATATGCTTAATTGTATATAAAAATTTGATAAATAAGGAATATGTAATAAAATAAAAAATTGATTAAGTAAATAAGTTATATTTGATCAAGCAGATAAATTAATAAAATATGTATTTTCTTCAGCTTATAACCAAAAGGAATAAAAAAGGGAATCAAAAATATTAAATGTAAAAAAAAAAAAAAAATATAAGGAAAGATATGATTTTTAACAAAAGTTATACATCTAACGGATAGGAAGAGTATGTATAGAAATTATCTCATTTCTAAGTGTGGAGATTCTAATTTATTATATAAAAATAGATAATTAGGTATACTTGGTCATTCAGTTCACTAGAGTATTTGCACAAATACTGACTCCTTTAATGAGTGCTAAATGTAGGGCACAAGATATATAGAAAAATTTATTCCACTACGTTCTTATCGTGTTATACCATGTTACTGGACACAGTTATACATCATTAAATATTTGATGATATTAATGTACAAAAAAAAAAAATAACAACAAAATATTTGACGATATTATAGTCCTTCAATCAACTGGCACCCAACTTCAAACTTCAAAATAGTTCACTGCATAATTTTTCCACATTCTTATCAAAGAGAGTTGGGATGGCAAATGAAAATTAAATAGTTGAAGAATAATAATCATTTTGTATTTTCAATCTTAGAAATATTGCTTACGTAATTGATATAAAAAAAAAAAATCGATTTCAGTATAATCTGAACCTAAAATTATATACTTTTATCAGCATTTCCCACTTTATCTTCTCAACTCATGCAGGATAATAATGATCCTAATTGTAATCACAGTTCAAATTTTGTTATTGTGCAGAGCAACTGGTTGTGGCTAATTGCTATCTTATGCAGACCATGGTCCCAGCCCTGAGTCATTAAATTCATTCAGCATGTCCCCGATCCAGTAAACTCATAATCTTCAAAAAGGTAAATGTGGGTTTCACTGAAATAGCAGATGATGCCAAAGTTGAAATCATTGTTCATTTTATAAATATGATATTAATCATTCTTTAAACAAACTTCCTTTTATAGGCAAGGAAGTAGAAAATATTGACATCATCGTTTACATCATAAGTAGACTAGATAATGACTACTTTTGACAAATCAACACCTAAAAAAATATAGTTTTTTTGAATCTTCTTATACTTGGTCACTCTTTCTAATGGATTAGCTCCGTTAGTTCTTCACAAATATCTTCCTTTAAATCTGAATGATCGAAGGAGTAATGAACAAGGCACCGTCAGATTAGGGATTTTAAGGATTGTTTTTTGCAAATAGATTTTCACCCAAAAATTAATAAATCAAAATTTGTTACAGGCTCCCATAACTTTTGTCATGTTGACTACTTGACTTTCGCCAACTTCACTCAATGGTTGTTTCCACTTCAATCACAAAACAAGTGTTTTTGGTGTTATTTTTATATTTTATGCTCCGTGATATATTTGCATGCTTTAACCAACATGCATCAAATGATCAAATAGCTTTAAAATCTTATTCGACGTTGGTACGGTATCTTCTCTAAAATGATCGATTTCAAGTGTGTGTGTGAGAGAGAGAGAGAGAGAGATTTGTGATTGTCATAAAGGCAATTACATTTGTTGAATGATAAAATTTCAGGGATAAAATAAGTAAAACTAATAGAAAGAGTGAGCTCTTCCAACGCGCTCTAAATCACTTACCAAATTTGAATGGGCATGGGCATGGGCATGCAAAGAAATTATTATTATCTTCACCCCTTTGTCAACTTTAATGTGCACGACTCGCTACTCAGCCTCTATATTATCCTAACAAATTAATTCTGAATAAAAAGTTTTAAATTTATTTTAAATGAATCACAAGGCTTATATAACAACAATTATTACTTTTCATTTTCTCTCTTTTCAAAATCAACTATGCACGTTGCCCCGTGAAATTGCATTGACAAAATTCATCCGCAACTAACTTTTCCTTGTGAACTATGCAAAGTAGTGTTTTTTGTGACTTAACATTATCCTTATCATAGTCTCCAAAAAAAATAAAAAAATTATCCTTATCATATAAAATCCATTCACAACTTGATAAGATAGACTATCCTTTCGTTGTATCTTGTGCGTACAGACGAGGGCTTCGAGTTCTCCTGTTAAAAAAGTTCTCCTGATAAAAAAATCATGCCAGCCTAAAATGTTTGTATAAACTTGCACACTTCTCATATATTCTTACTCAAGCCATCTTGGTGTTGGGAACTCAGTTGCCTTAAATCGGCTAAAAAATCTTTATGAAAGTCAAACGTCAAGCTAGGAGTTCGGCTCTTCAATCGGGCGGCCTGTATTAACAGATCGGCCAGTATAGTAGAAAGACGAAAAACACATAAGAGAGAGAAAAAGAAAGAGAGAACACAAACAAATTTTAACATGAGAAAATTTTCTCCAATGTAAAGAAGTAAAAATCCACAGGACACTAGTCCAAAATCAGACTTCCACTATGAAAATATTGAGTTACAAAAGATCTAGCATCACCAACAATCTATGTAGCATCGACACCGACACGGGACACGTGACACGATACGACACGACACTCCGACACGTTAATTCTAAAAAATGTTAGATTTCGACACGTTAGGACACATTTTGCTATTAAATAATATTTTTAATTTATGTAGTGTATATTATATTTAATATTCAATAATTTAACAAAAAAATGAAAATAAACTTATAATATTCATCAATTTTGCAAAGAAACATAAGATATCCCAACGAATTTAATAGTTGGAACTAAAAACTCAACGCAACACAACTTTTGAACATTTTTTTGAATTTTTATGATACGAGTTGGAGTGTCGGGGAGTGTTGGAGTGTCAGAGAGTGTCGGGAAGTGTCGGACACGACACGTCAGGATTTTTGAAGTGTCGGTGCTTCATAGCCAACAATGGTGGTACACTTACTATGGTGGTTTTCTCTCAAACTTTCCTAAGGAGGTATATCATTCAAGCTTCTCTTTAGAGGTGCTCTCAAAATCAAAGTTTTGAGCTTTTCACTTAAAACCCTCAAATCTCACAAGTCAATCTTTTTCTTTTTCTTCTTCTAACCTACCTCCATCCCACAACTAATGCATTTATAGGGAAGGAATAAGGTTTAGGGTTTTTCAAACCCCTCAATGAACTTTGGACTTAGCATTAAGGAGGAAGCCTAACACTTGGTCCTGCTGAAAGATGTTGAGTAGCCTAAAATGTGCACATACCTTGCATAGTTTATGCATATTTTCCCTAAAAAAATTTTATTTAAAAAAAATAATCGGGAACAAAACCAAAATGCCACACTAATTACAAAATATTACTTGAATGCTACGGACCAATTTTTTTTTTCAAAATGTCACGTCACCTAACTCGCTACAACACCTGACGAGTTAGGTGTGGACACGTGGCAGCAGGTTCTTGGCCACGTAAGTCGCTGCACAATGCAGCAAGATTACGTGGCAAACAGCTTCTGCCACAACCTGTCATGCGGCATAAAATGCTAGGCAGTTGCATAGCATATTATGTGTAAGTAGCTCAATATTTGTTTGCATCATAGTGGTCTAATAAATTATAGGATAATTTTAATTATTGAATTTTGTATTTTGAAATAAAATGATTTAATGAAAATTAATATTGGTTTGAATATTTTAGTTTAAATAACTTATGTTAAAATAATTTAATTTAGGACTATTAATTTAATTTAATTTATGTGTGTTAATTAATTTAATTTAATTTAGTTTATGTTAAGTTAAATTATTTTTAACTTTTAAGTAATTTAATTTAATATAGGAGTGTTAATGAATCAAATTAAATTTATGATTTTTAATTAATTTAGTTTAATTTTGTCTATATTAGTTTAAATTATTTTAGAACAATTAATTAATTATTTTTAGGAGTGTTAATTAATTTCATTTAATTTAGTTTATGTTAAGTTAAAATTGTTTTGAAATGTTAACTAATTTAATTTTATATAAGAGTGTTAATGAATTAAATTTAATTTATTTCTTTTAATTAATTTAGTTTAATTTCTCACCAAAAAAATTTAGCTTAATTTACTTTTATTAATTTAAATTATTTTAGAACTGTTAATTAATCATTTTTAGGAGTGGTGAGTTTATTAGACCAAAAACCTAGGCTACTTACACATAATATGCTATGCAGCATAGCATGTATAGCCACATGTCAGAAAAGTTGACACGTAACATGCTATGCAGCATAGCGAATTTGACACGAATTTGACACGTAACACGCCAAACTGCCTAGGGTTTTATGTTGCGTGGCAGAAGCTGAATACCACGTAATCTCGTTGCATTGTGCAGCGGCTTACATGGCCATGAACCTGCTGTCACGTGTCCACACCTAACTCGCCAAGTGTTGTGACGAGTTAGGTGACGTGGTATTTTTGAAAAAAAATTCTGATATGTAACATTCAGGTAATTTTTTATGAATAGTGTGATATTTTGGTCATTGTCCCAAATAATTGAACATAAACTGATAGTGCAAAATGCAAGTTAAAACAATCAAGCTTGTCATCTAGCGTTGGCATCATCATGAACAATTGATAATCTACTTTTTCTTTTTGAGTTACAAAGGAGGAAATGTGAGGAAACAAATTGGTTTGAAGTGCAAACAAGACATGAAAACAATTCAACCTGGAAACAATGCTAGAAGCCAATCAAGCTCCTTCTATCAGCACAACCAAGAGAGAGAAAAACTCTAATTTAGTCACTTTACATTTTAGAATCTGGATATTCTTTTCCTACCAACATGATTAGTACTTTTACAATCACTAATTTAACTTATACATTAAGATTATGAAAACTAATACTCATTCATTTTTAATAATGTACAAGCACTACATTTTAGGTAGACCCAATTCTCAAATCTTTGCAGGAGTGTCACTTTCCAATAATGAATGAATTAATAAATGTGTTTGTCAAACTATGGCCCGCCTTATTCAATTCCCATTGGACCTATTTAAGATGAAACATTGTTGTTTTAGACAAAAATTTCTCTCAAAACTTGCAATAAACTAAGGATTCGCTTTTTTTTTGCGGTGTCTGCAGATAAGTTATCAACAATAAGTTCAATATGACGTTGTTTTGAAACGAAAATCATGATGTTTTTGTAATTTTATTTCAGGGTTATTATAGTCTTTATAATTATAATTTTTTAATCTTTCAATCCCAAAACGATGTCATTTTAAGAGTAAATCCAAATAACTTATCTGTTTTTCGTTGGTTTAGTTTATCAGAAATATTTCTGTAGTTACTGCAGATAAGTTATCTGCATTTATTCTCAAAATGATGTCGTTTTGATATTGAAAGATTAAAAAATTATAATTATAAAAACTATAATAACCCTAAAATAAATTAAAATTACAAAAACATTATGATTTCCACCCCAATACGACATCATATTGGACTTACTGCAGATAACTTACTGTAGAAAAGGGAACCCAAAAACAAAAAAAAAACAAAAAAATGCAGAACTACTACTTGACTTGGAGGTCAAGGAATTAAGCCGTTTCGAACCAAGAAACTCTGATTACTTACTCTAAAGAACTTCTAATGTTTTTTTAGGCCAGTGATAAATGACTTGGGCGTACAAAAGCAGTTGAAAAAAATACAAAATACTTCTAATGGAAGTACTATAAACGATTATTATTGTTGTTCAGTAAATTCTTCTGTAAACCATTATTGGAGTCGTTCAGTAACTAAATTCCTCTGTCCATAGCCACAGATTCTAAAAGGTTCTAATGAAAATTGTTGATAGCAATATACCTAGTTCTTTTTATCCAACTAATGACTTCATAAAACTTCCAAACTACATATCTTCTAAAAACCAAACCTTTTGTCACCCTTCTGTAATTAAAACTATAATTTTCTTACATGTATCATTTAACTAATTCCAACCAATTCCAGTAAGAGAAAATTCTTCCAAGGTCTCTTCTTCAACTTGTATTTACTTGTCAGACTTTAACTAAACTGCTGAGCTAGCTGAGAAAATAGTTCAACCGTATTATGTATCAAAAGAAAGTTGCTGCCTTTAACCTGTGTCTGTTTTAACTCTATATTTCTCCTGTGTGTGTTTCGGAAACTATGACTGCCTGAATCCCACTTTCTATTGGAGAAATGAAAATGGACTGTCTGGGAGATCGAGTACTTGACCGCTACATAAAATTAAAATAAATAAATAAATAAATATCATCCACAGTCAACAAAATATGAATATGAATTGTGTCAGTAAAAGTGTGGCAGTCATACTGCATGTTTTGTTTTAAAACAAAATGTTATCCACTCTGAGCTTGTAAACAAGCAGAAGTAACTTTTAGTAAGTCTCTCAGATTTGCTCTTTGACAGGAAGAATGGTGTTATATTATTGCCGAAATCACCAAATGAAACAATGCTTAACAAGTTATTTTAGTAAATAATATGAAGGAGCTATAGTTAATGGAGGTTTCACCAAGGTAAAAAGAATGTGTCAACTTGGGCAGAAAATATATAAAAGCCAGATTTATAATGTACTTTTCTGAGAAGGGTGGGCAGTGGATTGTGGGATGGCAAGAGAAATATATTATAAATTGATGCATACCTGTTATCATCAGAAAAGTTGGTGTCTGTAGTATGCCTGGGTTTGTCATTCAGCTCATAGCTGAAAGATTCTGCAGGTTGAAAATTGAATTGATCTGTACCATAAAATGATTTCAATCAGTAAAACATAGAAGGACAGGTACAACATACTGAAACTTATATGTAAATCCATATCATCACACACCATCTGAAACGCTCAACCCATCCATGGAGAAGCCAAAAGGTTTTTGGCCAAATTGCAGCTCTGCAAGACGGCTCCTCTGCAATTCAAGGGCTTGCTCATGCTCTTCAATCAGCTGTCTCCTTAGAGATCTAGGGTTCCCCCAACTTCTAGGAACTACAAAAAATTGTGCATTAGGTTGTACAAAGACTTCTCAAACAAAAGGGAACAGAAAAAAAAGCAGAGTATTTGCATATTAGAAAAAAAAAAATTAAAACAGTTAGAGAACTTGGATGAGAAAGCTAATCACAAAGACAAACTATAGGATGTTCTAAAATGTTAACAAGAAGAAGTAGTCTAGGTTTCAAACTAGATAATATCAAACTCACTTGAATTAAGTTCATAGTCCACATCTCCATAGTGTGGTGAATAATAAACAGGCTCAAGTCCATCTGGGTACTTCCTGCATCCAAATTGAGATGCACATACAAAAAAACTAGTAAGATCTCTTAAATTCAATACTGGTTCAAGATACTACATCTGTTTTCTGTCAATCTTATTATACATTTAAATAATATATAGAGACAACGCACTGGTTTTGAAACTTCAAATAACTATATATTAACCATAACTTCACGTTAAGGTTTAAGGTTCATATCTTATAGAGATTAAGATGCTAAATCCCTGAAACTCTATATTAGTATTAGTATAAGTAGGGGGAACAGGGTGCACATGGAGGAAGAACCGAAGAACTAAGAACCTGGGAATCGGCACCAAGGAATAAGCTTTTTCATCAAATTATACTAACTCTTGTCAATACTAATGACAATTATACAATCATTTCAAGCTTAAATTAAAAGTCTAATCTTTGATTTTGCAACATGGACTAAAAATAGAGGGCCGACCCAGTTCAAATACCCACTTCGTGAGTGTCTGGGGAAGGGAATACTCTAGGCAGTCTTTCCCCTGTTTTTTGCAGAGAGGCTGATTCGAACCCGCGACCTGACACACCACGGCAAGCAAGCTTACCGCTGAGCTGAGCCAAACCGGCCCTTCAAAACATGGACTAAAAATGTAAAAGCTTAAAGTCAACAAAAGAAATAGAGAAGGAACTCACCTTTCAATAACCTTTGCCTTCTCCCGGTAAGGTTTCACAAGCACCCTAGACCCACGAACATAATGGGGATTCCCCTTCTCCAAAATCACCTTAACAGTATCTGAATCAACAAAAGTCACAAATCCAAACATCCTTCTCTGCTGGCATGGAATCCTAACATCTTCTACGCACCCAAATGTGCTACACAGGAAAACAAGTAAAAACAACTAGTTAACACATATAAGTTCTGCAAGGAAGTGAGAACATGCACTATTACACAAAAAATATAATTTACCTAAAGTAGTTTGAGACATCTTCCTCTGTGAAAGTGCTGTCAGCTGGAAATGTCAAATATATTTGTCGTGATGCACTAATATTGTGAGCAAAATCTCCACTCTGCATGTATTGTGGAGCATCTTCTACCAGAACTACTGCATGCTGCCCATGAGGTCTGTAAATCAACCAAAAAAAAAGTCAAATTAGAGTAAGAGACATCCAACACATAAGACATACAGAAAATTCATAAGAATTCACCTGTCTATTAGCCGAATACTATTTTTTAATCGCGCAAGAAGCTTTGTCAAACTATAGCCAGACTTACCATGTCTCTGGCTCTCAGTTAAATAACCATCTGCTTGCAGTACCTTTTTATATTTATCATAGTATGCCATTGGAAGGGAAGCAATTGAAATTGGATTGCCTCTTTTTGTTTTTAGGAGCTCAACAATTTCTGACTCTAACTGTGCTAATGACCCGGGCGAAACCACCTGATCCTCGTTATTAGCATCATTTCCATACATCTCAGGGAAAACTTGCCCATGATAGTATCTACAGCTAGCTCCATGCTTACAGAATCCTTTGTTGAAATAGTGACAGATCTTTAAGGGAAATTCGGATATGCCAGAAAATCTTCTACCAGTTTTTCCACCCAAATTGACTGCAGAAGCATCTAAGCCATAATAATCATGAGCAATCCCTCCAGTTACAGCATTTACAGGATCTATATGATTTTCCAAACTGAACAGTTGTGTCTGCTTCTGAAGTTCTGTGATAGAACCCAAGTTATTCATTGCCATAAATTCTAAATTGGTATTGCTAGCAGACTGTGGATCCCAATAGGAAGAGGGAACCTGGAAGCTTGGTGGTGAAGTAGGAGTTCTGGGTGAGATCACTGATAAATGGCTTAAACCTTGTTGAGGGTTGACAGGAGGTGAAATTGCAAGCATGGCTGATTTAGCAGCTAACCTTTGAAGATCAGTTTTGGCCTTAAATGCCACTTCACGGATGAAATGGTCAGGGCATGAAGCCAATTTAGCCATTTCTTGCTCACTATGGTCTTGCAAAAGGAGATATCCAACTATCTTGGAAACATGCTCCGGCTCGAATTTCTTAATTTTATCAAAGATAATCCTTGTGTAGTCTGAAATATCCATAGCGTTCTTATCTTATCACTGAGAAAAGTTCCAAGAGAGTTGACAAAAATGAGTGAATACTGTTCAGAAAGAAACTCAACAAAGCATCATCAAAGAGATTCAGCATTAAACATTTTGAAAAAACAAAACAATGTCGTAATGTTAAAAGAAAAATAGCATACCTAATATACCATAAAAATTGACTAATAATAAAGACAAGTCTTGAACAAGAGATTCAACAAACCCAAGGGAAACAAAAAACAAAAAACAAAAAAAAAAACAAATTTTCTTCTACAAAAAGGAACCCTATTCCATGAATCCAGTTATAAATAGCCTCGCAAGACACGAAAAGGGACAGATTCTCAGAATTGAAAATCACTCCATAGTGCACTATAATTTCCTCAAATCTCTCTGTCACACCACCCAAAAAGGAAGTATCTTTAATGCAGAGCAGAAACGGGACTCGCTTCTAATGAGGAAATGAGTAGGAATCACGCTCAGAAACAATCACGTGCGTTCTCTCCGACCGAATTACAAACAGCAAAAATTAAAAAACAACAATTGAAAACAAATGGTTACAAGGAAACTAACCAACATCAAACCGGCATTAGCATTTCAACATTGGAGCTTAAAGGTACAATTTTTTTGCAAAATTAAGAAAAAGTTGGTTTAATCTCAAACACTTCTCATTCTATCAAGCTTTAATCTCTATACCAAAAAAAAAAAACACTCAGACCTTCATGTACATTCAGAGAGCCATATCATCCTAAACCTAAAAGAAAAAAGAGGAATGCTTTTGAAAAGGCTCAGAATTCAGAGAGTAGCAAAGACCCAATTGATGGTTCCACCTCTCTCCCTCTTTTTTATGTAGAATCAAATAGTTGAACCCAGTAACCCCCACACACACTCTTAAAGCACTACACTGATATGTTACTGACTCTACAGTGTTCTGTAATCTTGGTCTTCTTTAAAGTTTTAAGCTTTCTTGAAAATCATGCACACCTGTTAAATAGTCAGAGATTTGAGGCATAATATTTTGCTTAATCCTCGAAGCCCATAACTGCTTGGAACTGCCTCAATTACCAAAAACACCCTTTATCTCTTTTTTTTCAAAAATAATAATAATAATAATAATAATAATAATAATTCGGAAAAACCAATGTGCTAAGTTTAGGACTTCGACGGTTCGACTCTTCAACTGCACAGTAAAGTCGGCACTCTCGTGTATATATATCTCTGGAAGTTTTGAGCGACACAAAGGTGGATTTTCTTGTCTCCATTTTTTTTTTTTTTTGGAATTACCCAACTCTAATTATCTTTTCGAGATGAGTTGGCTCCCTCCGATATTCTCACGAGCTTCGACTCTTTGAGCCGGCTATGGGACTAATTCGGAGTGCGGGGGAACAGTGATGGCTAAAAGTTCAGCCTCCTCCCCAAGAATGCATTCAGTGGGAATCAAACACATATCCAACCCCACTAACTCAGCGCCAAGTTACCACCTGAGCTCCACTCATTGGGTTCTTGTCTCTATTTAGATAAAGTAAGTTTGATATTTCTTTTTAAAATGTGACAAAAAATGTAGAGGTAATTTCAATATGAAATTCTGTATACAATATATATATATATATCCTACATTTAAAAAAGTTATATTAAATTGATTATTAATGAAAAAGATTTAAATAAGGATCTTGGCCCTGGCTGAATATGCACCATTGGATAAGATCCTTGAGATTCAGAAACTCAAATCTTGTAGAGAGGGGACCATAGGAGGGAAAATATACACCTTGGAAAGAGGCTAAGGCTTGGTTGTGTTGTGGTGGAACATTTCAATTCGTTTAGGAGGGAACACAACCACAGAATAAGACAATGCCACATCTTTAAAAATAAAAGTTGCATAATTTCCAGTGTCACTCAAAGGTCCATGCTTTACCCTCCCTGAGTTCTTTGTCATGCTAAACCGGGCCCTATTTCATTTTTTGAAAGGGTCCACAACATCCAATAGTTTTAGGAAAAATATAATCGATCTAACGGTGAAATTGATTGGTAGTAACATTAGTAATAATACTAATTGATTGTTACAATATCTTATCCCCATAGTTTTAAATTAAATTACTTGTGTATAATAAAAAATATATATATTTGTAGGTTCTTATAGTTTTTTTTATGTTTTTAAATTATTTTTTATAGGATTTTAATATAAAACCAAGCTAATTGATTCTTTTATCCCTATTTTAAAAATAAATTTATCACTTTACCACATTTTGAATTATATATCCATCTGTCTATTTCTCTAATTATATATAAATTTGTTCCATTGATAAAAAATTAGATAAATTTATATATAATTTGGAAAGGAGATAAAGTGATAAATTTTTTTAAACAGAAGCTAAGATCATCATACCAAAAAATATTAAATAAATCCTTATTAACTAATAATTGTTAAGATTCTGTTAACTTTACTAAGTTTAAAAAATGAAAACTTAAATAATTTATAGATATTATTTGATAGACAATACAATTGAATATATCTCTATTTCTCTACCAATTCCCCGATTAACAATTAATTTGGTTCAAGCCATGCATAATTAAAAGAGCGACAAAACTCTTTATACCAAATTTTTTACACAATTACACATTCAAGATTTGAATTGGAGACAGACCACTACTAGTTAAATGGAAATATCCATGTGATATCTTATTTGAGTTTTAAAAATGAAATTTAAAAAATTAACAACCATTAAAAAATAAAATTTATTTTAAAAAATTTAAATTTATAAGAACTTCTTTAAAATTTTAAAAATATATTCATTTATTTGAAATTTGAATACAACTATAACGACTGTAAAATATAATCGTATGTGAATTTTTAAGAATGTAACGTATGTAAAGAATAATTTAACTAATTTTATTAGGTAGTGGTTCGTAATGCAGCTTAGACACTTTATTTTTATAGTGGTTATATACTTATACCATATCTTGGGGATATGAACTCAACCTCAACAAATCCTAAGTCTTATCATTTCAGGTTGATCGTTCAAATTGTTTATTTATTTTTTTTAATTCTAACTTGTCCGAGTTTTCAAATCATATAATAATATAATCTTATTTGATTAAAGGTAACTGTTATTTATTTGAATAAATGATCCGATTTATTCGAATAAATACGAGGCATAGGGTAATAAATTTGTTAAATTAATATTAAATTAAAAATTATACTAAATTAAAAATATTATTAAATTTATTAAATTAAATAATATTTAAAATCGTAAATAATTCTCAATTATTTAGCACAAATTTTTGAATCCTTGAAAATTAATAAATAAAATATTTATTAATAATAATCTTAATTTAATTATTACTTTTTTTGCTCTGTTGTCTACAAAATTCAATCCAAATTCTTATTACTTTCATGGCAAATAAGAAAAGAAAAAATCAATAATTATTGTTATTTTTTAAATCACATGGATTTCAAAATATAATTTGAATTTATACAATGATATTTTAAAATCCTTACAAATTTAAAAATATAAAATTTATTATTAATAGAAAAATTGACTAATATTTTTTTCATATTTGTAGGAAAATTTCAATCCAGGTGAGTTTTTTTTTTTTGCAAATAAGGAAAAAAAATTAATAATCACATTATTAATCTTGGATTTGCATAAATTTTGAAATATAATTTTTATTTATACGTTAATATTTTAAAACTTCTACACATTCAAAATATTTAAAGTTATTATTAATAATAATAATTTAACTATTTATTTTTTTCTTTAATTTATCATAAGTATATATAAACAACTAATGGAATCACGCTACATATAGAATCTGAATTTAAAGTGTGACTTATTTAATCAATTTTGATCAAATAGATACAGATTCACATATAACTTAAAAATGGGACAAATTGATAAGTTTTTAAAAAAAATAAAAAATAAAAGAAGAACAATTTGATCAATCAACCTATCATTTTGCAACAAAGATTTGTGGCCAATAGAATCAATGGAAGTAGTTTTTCTAGTAGTCTTATAACACGTCTATTTTGTTTAACTTAAGATAAAATGGGTTGATTTTGATAATATATTTTATAATATTATTATACATTTAGGATTTTTATGGAATGACACAACTTGTTAGTTTTATTTTGTATATTTTTATTTAGGTACATAATAGGTGCGTTGAAGCAAACTAACTACGAATAAACCAAACATGCTGAGCATAATCGAACATAAAAGGTTTGGATAATTGCCGGCGGATCTGTCGTAACATTACTTGTTAGTTTATTAAGATATATCCGATAATAAAATGGAATTTTCTGCACTCCAATGGGTAATATGCACGAATACATGTAGTTAATATGATGTCTGTACTGAATTACATGTGATTCTGCAATTTTATATATGAAATTAGTGTTTTTCATATTATAAAGAGATAATTTTATATTTTATATACACATAAAAATATGTAGGGTCTATATTTTTTTCTTTTTTTTCACATGATATTAACATTTTTTCTGTTACAGGAGATAAAGTTATCTCTTGTATTCCCAAAACAACATTATTTTGGGTTTAAAAGTTAAAAATAAGGGGAGGATTATATTTACAAAATTTTACAAACTACATTATGTATTTCCGGAAACAAAAAAATTTAAAAAAAAGATTGTAAACGGATCATTTCCATATATATATATTTGTGTGTATGTATGTATGTATGTATGGGATAAGTTATTCTGCCCACTCCTTAATCTGCCTACTTTGTCTACTCCTCTCAACACTGTTAGATTACAATTTCATCCAATCGTAGAGATTTGCAAGATCAAATAAACCCTTTTATTCTTTTTTCTCTCCTTTGCCTCCCATCTTTTTTCTCTCCTCCCTTGCTCCAGATCTTGTTGCCCAGAGCAGGTTCTCCCTCATGGAAAATTGAAAGCTGCTTGTGGTCGGAATCTTGGTTTCCTAATGTAGAAAATCTTCTGTAGTGATTGTTGTAGGAACCATAATATTTCAAGGATTTCTTGATAGATTGCATCAAGCTCATCAAAAAATATATGTTTTTAGATTACAATTAAAATTAAAATGGGAGTGGGGGAGTCAATATTTAGTGATCAATTTTTTTTTTAAATAATTGCTTTTGATTTTTGAAAATATGAGATGGAAAAGGGTCTTTCTCGAACAATTTAATGATTCGTGGATTTAATTTAGCCGTCTCTTTTGTGAAGTTGAACTCCAAACGCTCTCTTCCAGGGAGAAGAGAGAAAGGATGGGAGGCAGAGGGGAGAGAAAGGGATAAGAGGGTTTATTTTATCTTGTGAATCTCCATCATTTGATGAGATTATAATCTAATGATATTAAGAGGGATAGGCAGATTAAGGAGTAGGCAGAATAATCTATCCCTATATATAATATATATATATATATATATATATATATATATATATATATATATATATATATATTGGTATGATTGGATGGTCCTGCCCAGCCAGCTCAAATAGCTGCCCAACAGGATCACCATAATTTGGCACATGGAGCACATGACTCATTTGCATATCATGGGTCACGCAGACTCACACCTGCATATCATGGGTCACGCAGACTCACACCTAGTGGGGCTTACAAGGCTGGAGACGGTCATGGTTTATATTCTGATTCAATTCAATTCAATTATATATATATGGTAAAATTATTTCTCTGGTTGTTGGACGTCCAACAATAAATCTTCCATCGTTGATTGGTTATGATTCTCCACATTTAATACTTTTCACCCACCTTTGTATGATTATGATTTCTCGAATTTATTTGCTGGATGTCAAGCGAATGGAGAAAAGCAAAGCCCCGCTTGACGTCCAGCATATAAATTCGGAAAATCATAACCATACAAAGGTGGGTGAAAACATTAAATGCGACGAATCATAACCAATCAATGGTGTAAGATCTATTATTATATGGGTCAGGATC